CATTGAAGAATACGCGACCGTTGGGACAGGTGTAGTGGTTGGGCTGATCTTTTTCACAGACCTTGTTAATGGCTCCAAGCGCCCAGTTCATCGTGCATATTTGGACGATGGAGGACCACAAGCAAGCAACCAACTGTCCGGCGAAGGTCACGCGAGGTGGAAGCTTCATGTAGTGGCCTAGTGTGTACTCAAGTCAGCTCTAGGATCGTGCTAATTGAACGAAACTTTTGTTTTGAATATTGACATACCCAGTTTCATGTCCTGGCAAAAATACAGGCCTTGGGACATGGTGATGTACCCGTAGGTCTTGAACAGCATCATGGCCATAGGGCGTCCCGGCTGCATGTAACCGATGATGAACTCCGTGATGACGTTCAGTCCGATCTGAATGTTGGTCGTCGCCTGCACGAGGCCAATGGGCACAAACCACAAAGTGGCGATGATCAAGGAGACGAAAAAGGCCCACCAGCTCAAATGAGTTGGATAGCCCAGTACAACGCCTAGACCCATTCCGATCATGACCAGTGTAAGCGCAGCATACCACCACATGGGGACGGTCTTGAATCGGGACATGAGACGACCGTGGACGTCTTCCTCCTCGCGCCCAAACTTGCGTAACCGCGCCCACAGCTCCTTTCCATGAAAGAGTCCAGTATGAACGAGCAAAGCGATGATGGTAGCAAAATTCAAACCATAGTTCAGAGCAAACGTGGTGGACAGGAAAAGTGGTGAATAGGATTCATACTTGGCCTTATCAAACTCCATGCTTGGGGTGAGAATTCTAGACACATTGTACGGGCCGGCAGTGTTGTCGTAGCTGCTCGAGTCGCTGATAGGCAGGTACTTGCCGTACCACATACCACTATAGTGCAGGCCCGTTGTGGTGATCCAGAAAAATACCACCATACCAATCAGGGTGTTCACATGCGCATGCCACGGAGAGATCAAGGGACTGAAGTTGAAACCAGAGATCTGTGTCCAGTCAAACGTAATGGGAATGAGAGAGAGCCCGGTCAGACCACCAAAGAGCTGGTTGATGACGGGGTTCTGGGGCTTGATCCAGGTGACGAAAGCGAAGGTACTCAGGAAAGGAGCAATGTAGCCGGGGAACCAGTACCAGACGAATGAGCCAATCATGCAGTACAGAAAGAGGCGGTACTTTCCAATAGTCCATCCAGAGACTTTTTGTGGATCAGGCTTTGAGCGATCGTGCAAAGCGGTAAAGAGCGCAGAGTTAATGAGAGTAGAGGGCCAGATCATGGCGGCTGGCGTGACCAGGAACCGATGGAAGAAACCGGCCAAGCCAAAGCCTAGAGTCTGGGTAGATATGCACATCAAAATCTCAAAGGCCCAGCTGAAACGCTGCTTGTAGAAGGCTCTCTGAGCGAGCAGCACATCCGTGGCATAAGCCGCACCACCACCAAAGGTAGCATTGGACATGATGACGATAAGGGCATGCTCCTTTTTGCTGAAAGCTCCAGGGTTGAGGTTGCAATCGATGCCAAAGAACTTGAACTGCTTGTTGGGCATTACCTTGTACCAAGCCACACCCACCGGGTAGGCGACGACCTGGATCACGTATGAGGGAATGACGATGTACGGCTGGCGCATAGAGAACAGCATGTTGAGGGCTGAACCAAGGGTCGCGAACACCAAGCCGATAGTCCAAGCACGGATTGTGTTTGTGTGTCCACCCTCATCGTAGTTTGCAACCGCAGAGCGAACCTCGGGGTAGGGCGAATTATCCATGAGTTCGTGGGCAACGCCAGCACGAGCGCCCTTGTCGGACGTGTGCAGGGCCTCATCGAGCTCCTCGACCACATCGTCGGGGAGATTGGGATCCCACTGATGTTGCTCCTTGATGTGCTTGAGATGCTTCAAGACCTCATCTGGTGCTGTCTCGTCCGCCAGAGAGTTGTCACTGACGGCGACCGAGGGCTCGAGAATCTTCTGCTCCTTCATCCTGGGAGGATGATTGGAATATTGAAGTCGGTGGCAGATAACAGAAGAGGTTCTTCAATGCAGGATGGCTGCAATGGATGAGAGAAGGATCCACCTCAGGCAGTTTCCATATATGATCGACAGGGGTAGAGAATTAGATGATGGGAGAAGGATGAGAGAGAGAAGAGAAGGGGGATGATGAGACGCGAAGCAGATGCAGGGGGTCACGTTATATAAGGAAGTGAGAGTGCTGCGCGGTCGAAGGACAGCCATCACTGAGAGCAGACCATCACACCAACAAGTCTCGCTATCACCACTCCAACCAGATATCGGTGCTTAATTCATAGCCGACGGTAACCCGCCACATTATCTCCGGATACTTTCATTCATTATGATTTCAGCCACTCAAGGATGAAGGATCATATCTCGAGGAGGGAGATGAGTCTCGCTGTCCGCCACTATCATCACCGAGAGAGTAAGTCATTTGCTCTTGTCAGATGTTACCCTGATAGCTAACTAGTCAACCAACGCATGGCCCGATCGATTGTTCGTTCTAGGATGGGGCATCTCAAGTGATTTCTCAACACGTGTGAGGACTAAGGTTTCGACAATGATAGCCTCCCATTGGAGGAACTCGACCGTTTGGGAGTCTTTGGTTGCACCGAGGAAAGACATGAACCTAGACTGCCAGTTATCAGCCAGACGGTCACGGAGCTACACTATCACCCCGGTTGCCATGGCCGGAAAGCGACGCAATCAGAGCTTCTCCTTCTTTATTTCTAAAGAGCAGTGCTCCACCGCACTCGCGGCGCCAGAAAGACTGACAAGGTTAAGAGGGGAATGAGAACATGAAGCATTCCAATACTGATTGGGTACCCAGTAGATATCTAGTATCAACTCCGCAATTCATTAGATTGGAACGACTTCTCATTGCTCCGCCGGAAGTCCGAGCCCATGTCCAGGTCGCACAAGGTCTCGAGGATGCTCGAAAGCGCCTTTGCTCCTATCAGGCTGTTTGTCACATAACACATTCTTCCCCCTTCCTAAGTTGCCTTCCATTTACTGACTGTGGGGTAAAGAAGCAGGACCGGTCGAATTCTACATGCCTCTTACGGTCTTACCGCTTAAGCCCCGATCGACATCAGGAGAAGGAAATACTTCTGGCTGTCGTTGTTTAGACTCAAACTTAAGCGACCAAAGACAGATGATGTGGGCAACTAAATGGCCCGGGCTGGCTGGCGCTAAATTAGGCCGGCTATATGTGCCATATTCGGGGTAGTGTGGTCTCCTACATCAAACAGTGGCTTGCTTTTGGACATTTCCACACCCACACACGGCAGGGGTCATGTGGCTTCCGATCAGGAAATAAGCAAGGGGAGCGGAATGGCCGATTGTGGTGGCAACATTCGCTTATTTGAAGCCCAAGATATTCTTCAGACATGTCGCTGAGTATGAATTGATGGGAAAGAGGATGATGGAGGTTATGGAAGGAGGATGGAACAAGATACGATCCTACGCATGATAAGCTCGCTGCGAAGCCCGCCCACTGACCACCCACGAGGCTTGTCCGTGATAAGCCAACAATAACCACCGCCAATGATGCTTGGGAATCAGGAGCGGAAGAGCCCGAGGAACTTGGCCTTTCACGCCTAAAAAGTGGAAAAAATTGGGGCCACAGCGGATAAGTGCTTGGAACGTCCGACTTCCGTACTCAGGACCCCCACATGAATCAAGACAACTATTATGCGATAGTATTACTTACCTTCTGGCGGGTTCTCGGATGGTCACGTGCCTATCGTCGGCATTACTTGACCCTTGGTTCTGCTGAGACAAGCTGATCGTTATGCTTGCTGGTACTTTGTTGTTGTTCGATTGAGGCACGGAAGTTCAATTTCCCCTCACCAATCATTGACTTCCCGAGGTAAGTTTGCAAGGCCCATGGCGAATCCGTTCTTTCTGGGTCCTCTCTTTGCATCTATCTGCTCGGTGCCCTTCTTTCCAGGTCCGAATGGTTCCAGATTTTTACAAACCACCATCAAATTCTAGTTTTAGCTTGGTGCTAACTTCTATTCTTGCGTGGCAATGTTGCCAGTGCAAAAGCGGCCCCAAAAAATCGAAGACTGCATATATGCAGACGCCATCCGTAGACCAGCTGCGCAGATTGAAGAACAAGAATCGCTGAAACCGCCCACGGTGGTATCTTTCGCGTTGCTAGCACGGCCTCCAAGCTCTCACATTTGAACTGTGTCGATAGCCCAGCGCTAAGGCCGCTACAGCGCCGTGTCTACCCATGCGTACATGGCAAGCGAAACAGATAAGCAATACACTCATATCACGGTCCTGCAGATATGGCCTGTTAACCTCCTGCTTCTTCTGCACTAGCTCCGGCGGCCTAAGCATCAGCCAAAGTGGGGTAGAACCGACCATGTTATCAGAAGGTTTACGCTTAAACATAGCGTAGTCTACTTTGTACGGACTACGGGAAGACCTCTTTTTGATTCTCCTAATCTCTAAACAACGTCCGTGATGAAAGTCAATGTATGTCTCAAGAAGCTATCGCTCTGATCACTATCAGAATCTATGAATGGTCCCAGAATCGCTCTCTGGGTGGGTCGATGCTGACAATCATACTGCGCAATGTAATTGGCGATCTCGCCAAATCGCAGTTCATCGCGAAGCCTGGCTTTGATCTAGTATTCCGCTTGAGACACAGTATTGAGTGAGGTGGACTCAGGCGAAGAGTACTCTGCAATACTATCGGGACGAGCTTGAGAAAGAGAAGAGCATTGTCTTTTTTGGCATTTTTTTTGCTATCGCTATTGCTATTGCTAGTATTACTCTTATCGACATGAGAATGGCCTCACAATTATTGGTACTCTAACAAAAATTTTCCTGAGCGGAAACATAGGCTCTGCTGATTGCCCAAGATGCTCTGCTTCCTGATAGCGCTCAGAGCAGTGCCGAGAACTTGTAAATCCTGAAGATCAATGCCAACGTGATTTTGTTCGCTTCCCCCTCGCAAAGGGTCCACCTACGCATCGGGTCCCAGTTGATGACCTCTAAGTGTAAGGACCGGCAGTCAGGAAGAATTCATCTTCGCACAAGGCCCATTCGAAATCTGCGAGGAAGTGGTCGTCGACACGAGCTGAGTCCTGTCTCTCGGCGAAGGCGGCCAAGGTGCTGGCTGCCGCATTGGGGTTGTTGCGAGCGCTCTCGGCTCCTGAGATCATGGGGTCATCAGTGTGTGCACGCTGAGCTTGAGGAATGGGAGGTATACCATCCGCTGCCTCCCCCTGCGGAAAATACATCGAACGGTATTGAGGTTCATTCTCATCGCGCCACCACCAGACCGCGTCGAGGATGGGACTAAGAACGAGACGACCCCGCACTCTGAGGGGCGAGAACACGCTGCCGTCGGGCTTGTGGTAGGCCTTGGGGTTATTCCAGAGCTCGTTCACGATGAAGACGGCCTTCGCGGCACTATCGTTCTGCTGGACCGACATCTCCTTGGCGAAATTGATTCCCGCAAAAAACGAGGCTCTGGCTCGTTCGAGGTCCAGATCATGCGATGCGGATATTTTGAGGATGCGGAGAAGGGTCACTGAAGCGAGGATGAGCCCGAAGTTTATCTGGATGGGTGTAGTCACCAGGCGGCCGGGTGTTTGAGCTAAAGACTGGACGAAGTCAACGACTCGACAAGCGGCGGCCAAAATGCGCGGCAAGCAGCCGGTGGAAGATAGGGTTTCGATCTTGTGAAAATGAAGGACTTGAATGTGCAAGCGGCACAGAGCTACGTGGAATCTGTCGACTGCTATAAGGGCGTCAGCACTGTTCCTCCTGGATTAGAGCAGCTGGGTCATACCGGAAGTGAACTGGGCTTCCAAGTCTGCGATTTGGCTCTCGTATGTGCGAAGAATGATATCCAACGAGCGCTCCTGTTCCAAATTCATAGTTCGCACGCCGTTTTCGACTACTACCGCGCTGCATCTGGTTACCAGGTCCAAGCATTTGAGTTTGCACACCAAACCTGGTGCGATTCTCTGGAACAAGCGCTGGGTCAGCCATAGTTCCTGCTGCATATCCTTGAGAGTGCGAGCTAATTGCCCTTTGACAACGCAAGAGCTATAATACTGTGAGCAACGCCGGCCAACCCTCGTGGTTAAGGACTTACTTCTGATAAGCAATCACGCAATGTGCCCAAAGTTCCGAACGCCGAATCATGTCATCTTCGGACGGTGCAGGAGTTTTGACCCTGGAAAACTCATGGCTCGACACAGGTATGTGCATCCCGTTCTGCATGGCAATATGTAGCATCATGCCACTCAAGGTGAACATCGCATCCGACCCAGTTTTGTCCTTCGCAAAGGGCCATGTGAGAAGCAACAACAGTCCTTGAATCGTGTGCCATGGTGTTGTTGACAAGGCTGAGAGTAAAGCCATCTCAAGAATGCCCCGTGAGAGAGCCGTCAGTAGCGTTGGGTTTTTCGAGTACGACCTGCACGCAACCCCGATAATAGCCCAGAACAGGAAAGGGCATTGTGTGTAATATGCGTTAGGGGTCAGTCCGATGTCGAGAATGGGAAGGAAATGCGAATATTCACGGAAGAACCTGTAGCATCACAATCAGCGTGGGAAAATTGATGTGGCGGCCGATCATCCAACTGCTATTATTGACTTACAATTGGAACAGATCATCGATCTCGGCTGCTTCCACCGTTACGTTATTCAAGGTACGGGGGACAGTCGGCTCTAGACGATTGCCCGACTCGATATCCGCTTGGGCTAGAGGCGCTTCTAGACATCCCGAGGACAGCACCTGCTGGGCATACGATTGGACAGGAGGAGCAGCGCCACAAGAAGGAGAAGGACCAGAGGCCGGAGGAGTGGGAAGAGCAGGAGCAGGGGGTGTAGGCAGACTTAATGCAACCTCGCTGCTTGCAGAGTGCACTCCCATCTCTGCTGCAGCTGTGAGCATGGCTATGGGCGAAGCATGGTGGCCTGGAGCCGGTGCAGCTTGCAATTGCAATTGCTGCCGGAGCTCATTCGCCTCCTGTTCCAGTTCGGCTCGACGCCTGCGTAGATTTCGTGAGCTTTTCAGTCAACACAAACCATGAAACTGGTACAATACATACTGGCGTTTATGTTCCCTTCGAAAAGGGTCTGAAATGACACATTCAGTCTGATACTTTTGGCATCTTGTGCATGGTTGGTCAGGGTTCTGGTAGGCATCGCATTTGTGCTGATGGTTGAAGGTTAGCCATGAAGAAACACTTGGAGTATGCCATGCACTCCAGTATTCAGTAAACACAGGCTTACCTTTTGTTGTCTGCACTCTGTACATGCTTTCTTGGCTCGCTTAACCGAAGATCTAAGATAAGCTTCTTTGTTAGCGTTGCACCTGGAACCACTCTGGAATGTTCGAGAAGGGGTGAAGAATCTCACTGTGGATCCATTTCTCCTGGTTTCATTCGCATGGATCGGGAACTAGGTAACAGAGACTCTGCATTCTTCTGCTGCGGTGAAGATGTAAGTGAGCTCTCTGCCTGATACTCTTCGCGATGACGGTTGGACCGGCGAGAAGAGCTACGAGTTGGAGAAGTTTGGAGCTTCGGAGATAGCGACATAATGTCCGTGACTGCTGGGGAAAGCCTCAGAACTGCTAGCGATGATTGACATTAACTGGGAAGAAGACTGCTTCGGCGAGTTTTGGAGCTGGGGCTAATTTTAGGAAAGGGATTGAGCATTCACTTCACAAGTCGCGGACTCATATGGACATTTAGCGAGGCTACTACTGGTTATGGCTGAGCATTACGTTTCCTCGAGGAGGATTTGGGGGTATAGGTGCTGATGATAGATCTTATGCTCTACATGATTCAGATCTGACGTCTAGAAGCCTAATATAACCCAATTGAATATCAAATCCAGCCATGACTCTAGCATTTCTCCCTGGCATCCGCATCCCCCTTCTCGAACTCCTATCCCGGGCTTGTTGACGATGATGTTATATCACCCTAGCACCCGGCCCGGAACCGGCACGGAGATAAGCAATCAGTCCGGGTATATGTAACTCCGATTGGCTCAAATGGGATACTACTGTGGACCATTATTGGGAGGGAATAGGGGATCTCAATTCCGAATGTCATTGCAAGTTGCCTCTCTGACCTCTGTTAATGGCCTCGAAAAATGTATAAAAGGAACCTCACGCTGATCATTCCTCAAGCCATTCAACATCGTGCCTACTTATGTGCACATCTCCCGGCTCAAAGCCGCCTTGGCTGGGGCATTTAGCCAGAGACTTCGGACATTCGCTTATCATCATGGACGATTCTGCTACCATAGTGTAATGACTGACAGAAATGACGGGCCAAATCTGAGAAGCCCTTGCTCTGCTGACGCAAGTTTGGCTAGCTGTGATGCTATCGCAGGATCGCTTGCATTTCACGAGCGAGCATGTTCCCGACATGCCCAAAGGACGTCAGTAAGACTTGCATTGCTCGAGTCTACTAGACGTTTACTCTAAAAACGAACTTGCAATCAAGCGTGCAGGTAAAACAGGCTTCCAAATTCTACTCTGTCTTTGCTAAATGGGATGTAGCTCGGCCACCCGTCACATGTCTAAATGAAGCACTTCAGCTGTCACACAAGCCCTGCATCTCTTAATATAATATGTTCAACAACATGGCTTTAGATACCCGACCCGTCTGAAAACGTCCAGAGTGTGGTTGTCCAGGGTAGGATGGGCACACCCCAAGGACATCAAGCCCTCATACAATTGACAAACCATCAAACGCTCTCTTCCAGCCTGCGACGGTGTGATAGTCGATGCAGGTCTCCGCGCGAATCCTCGAGGGTAATAATGTCGATATCACGGTTACAAGGACCTTGGGACTTCTCTTTCTGACTGAGGATGCTACAGTCCCACATGTAGACGAGAGACGCATTAGCTGCTATTGCCCTAGCAGGGTGACGTGGAAACGACTTTCGTTTGAACAAAGCTTGACTTACAGGTTGGATGCCTCCAGCTAAGCTTGTCCCATGGACTGAACACCGCGTCGCTGTGTCGTAGTTGACAACTCACCTTGCATATCGAGGAGTACACCCTACTTCTCATTTCCAGAAACAGGAGCTGCGTCCCAGCAACCTCAATTATCGCGGGACATTAGATGCTCACAGTAGAGCAGCTGCAATGGCTAATCTCGAGCCGAAATTCTGCATCGACGGTGAGGTCAAGTTCCTTATTCTCGTGGCTGAGGGGATTCGTTGCACAGAGCTTCCTAATGGAACATCAATCAGCGACTCTTTCAATTTTGACTGATGTCACTTTAGCATTGACATCTGCAGTACTTCTGCTATACTTGCAGTCTGCTTGGTAATTGACCGGCAATTCTTTCCTCCTGGCTGAAACTGTGACCTTAACTTGCTGCCACGGAGACACCTACACCTGCTATCTGGGTTATCTCAAAACAGAATCACCCTCCATGCCTTAGACTCAGAAGAGATCGTGGATCCTCCATTTCGTCCCATTGCTCTATTTTCCCGTTCCTCTAAGAGATCCACTGATCATCAGAAGCGTATACATCCCCTAGATTATCCATTATCTCAAAATAAGCAACTGCCACTGCTCATTTTGTCGGATGTCGGTACTATTGTGTATTGCCAGTCTGTATCTAAACTATCAAACTACTTTCGCCAACGGTAGAAACCGATTTGGGTAGATGGATTTTTGGAATGATGCTCTCGACGAAGGGCCCATCAGAGACGAAACGACCATAGACTTCCCTCCAGAACTACCTCTTGTGGGAACGTGACTAAGGTGGCAAGCATAATCTATCAAATGGTGCATTGTTATTGCTGTTGTTATGCAATTGTTGCCCTCTTGATGTTCTATGGCGGGATGTACTCACCGTGACATCACAGTCGGTTCATCCAACATGAGGCAACAGATAGACCCAAACAACTAAATCTACTAATTCTATTTCCAACCTTACCACATAGATTCTCTATTTTGTTTAACTGTGATGTAAAGCATGAGTTTCGATCTTCCTTCTGTTGACGAAATCAAACGCGCGGCCGAGGTTGGCCAGCGCATCACACCCGAAGATGTCTCGGTCATAGCACAGGCGGAGAGCGAGTTGACGGGCACAGGGCCCGTGAGAGGAGGGCCTGCAGGTCAGTTCTCCTGCTAGTAGAAAGAGGGGAGCATCCGATATTGATTCCACTTTAGCGACGGCGCAGAGCCTGGCGATGCGGCAGATGAACTTTGACACGAAGTTGGATGAGATCTCGAGGAAGCCGCAGAGTCATATAACCCAGGAGGATGCACGAGAGATACAGGCTACGGAGGTCAGTCTGCCACTCGCTAGTGATGTTCTTTATGGCGTCAAAACGAAACGGTCTAACGATTTTCTCGCGCAGGGTCGTGCATTTAACAAGCCGCCTGGGGTGGGCTCCGTCGCCGCTCAGGTTCGCTCCATCGCCAACCGGAACGAGGCACTGGGACTTCCACCTGTCAATGCAGATGTTTCTGTATATGTGACAAAGGATGATGCGCGAGAGGCGCAAAGTGCTGAAGCGTCGGTGTATGGAGGACAGAACCCCGCGGGCGGGATGGCGGCTCAGATGCAGGTGAGCTGAAAATATCGGCTTGGCTTGTGGGAGTCGGACTAACAAACTGCTATAGAGCGCTGCCGATAAGATAGAGCATATCAGAAGATGCAGCGAGTAGGAATTATTTGGGGGAAATGTTCGGCTTGAGACTCCACCATGCGGATGTGTTGTGGCTGCAGGAAAGAGGAAAGTCTGGCTTCGTCAACTTCTCAAATGTCCTCTTTTGAACTTGAGATATGTCAACCTGAAAAATAATAGGCATCTGAACATCTGCAAGAGAAAAGATTGCATATCATAGTATACTTCAACCCTAAAAATGCCAGAATTTAGGTCTCACTTAGATTCTAAACCAAAGAGTAAGCGTTGGGCACCAAGACAAAAGAAAGTTTTGGTTGGGAAGTTCCGCTGACCGGACACTGCTGTAGTCGCAGATGTCTAAGCCTCAAAGCACTGTCCAGCTGAATTGCTCTGCTGAACGACTAAACATATGCTTCTGTATTGGTATGATGGTTGAAAACGCCCATGGCTTGTTCAAGGAGTCAGCTCTCCTATCAATGAACACCGCGAGCGCGATGCGGGGATGGCGAGGGCCAAAAAGTGCACCTCACTGGGGCATGTGAACAGCCCAAGCTCCAAACTCAGTTTCACAGGACTTGTTGCTTCATTCGCTGTCCAAAAATAGGAGAATGACCAAGCCACATCATCCATAAGGTACTCTCTGTCGTTAAGGCTGAAAAGGCTCAAGAAGTCCCGACAACCTGGACTCCTGGCGTCTTTACGGGTAAACCTGCTCTTCCTTGATTATTCCACAGCAGAAAGATCTCAAATCCCCACTACACAATGATCGCTCTTTTGATATAACTCACTTACTGCTTGTTTAGTTTAAACTGAAATTCACATTGGCACGAAGTAGTCCTTTTTTTTTCTTCTCTGTGAAAGGCATCAGCACAATGTACAAACAGACTGTTTTCACCACCATTACGCCCCTCCCCTCATACATCACCCGAGATATGGTCGTGGAGACATTGCATAATCATAAGGAGATGATAGAGCTGAATCCTCTGGTCATCAATTTCGCCAAATGCAAAGCTCCCGGTTTCGCGCCCGCAGACGAGTTCCACTCCGTTTGGTACGAATTGACCGATAGAATCTCCTATCTACCCGGAGGGATTCTTCACGGCAATGTCAGCTACAAAGGTTGTTTCCATGATCTTCCACGCGGCCTACAAACGCATGTCTACGCACCGACGGGGCTCGATATTCGGGACAAATGGAGTGTATGCGGGAATATGCCGGGCGAACCTCGCGAGACCGTCGAGCTGGGCTTGCCAGATGCCCCTCGAGAGGGCTTGTACCTGCGCGAGGACATCCAGATGCGATGTCAAATCTGGGCCACGAGCTTTGTCAAAAAGACCTTGAAGAAAGCACATGCAACGCTGGTCGATCGACTCGTCATGAAAGCAAACCTTCTGAAAGAACGTGCAGAAAGGAACTCTATCTCCTTGAGTTCTCCGACCTCAGATTCTTCGCATAGATTTTCAGTAGCGTCCACTGAATTACCAGTGCCGGAGTATGGTCAAACAGTACATTCGCTCCGTGAAAAATGGCAGCAAGATCATGGACCGAATCGTGCGACAAATATGCAAACCCCCTTCCCATCAGCCGAGCTTCCTGGGTCATTACGACCTGGACAACTATCGGGCCCGTTACCTGGGTCTCGGCCAATGATGACAACACCGGAAATCCAAATTAATGGCGTGTCTGAATCCAATATGTCGGCACAGCGGACAGGGGTATCCCAGAATGAAGAGAGGAACTCGCGCCGATCGTCTTATCACGGCAAGAGTGTATATGAATTGGAATAGCAAGATCGACAAGATCTGATCGAAAATCCCTGTGCGCATCTGCGTGGTTGTGTTTATCTCCCCTTTGCGATACCCCGCCGATCGAGGAAGCTATCAGTCGTATGGATGGGTGATGCGGGAAGCTGGGTCTTGCTTCAATCTAGATGATCTCGGTTTCGTACTGATTAGGATGACTCGTCTCTTGAAAGTTGAGATACACCGATGTCAATCACTTGAGAGTATGGAGTTGGTACTCCATGTTGCATCTGAGCCAGGTTGCCAGCTAATTGTGCTCGAAGAAGCGTGAGAATCCCGATTCGGAAAATGAAGCGCAAAGCCGACCCGCTCGATCTATTTGTTAGTCAGATACTTCAAAGTCTGAATAAGGTACTCCATATTATTAGTGGCTTTGCTGTCTTCCTCAAGCTCATTGGAGTGCTTATCGCAGTCAATGGGCATCCTTCTAAGTCCTGTCTCTTTTTATGCAAGCGTGACAAATCTTTGCTGCGGGCTAGGAATTCCGACAGGGGCAGAACGACGCCAATCAGAGCTTATTGTCGAGTCAAGGCAATATTTGGGAATGTACTTTGTCCTGTAGATTTGAAATAATGTGATAATGTCCGAGTAGAATGTGATTCCCTCAGTGGTGGGATGTCGATAATTCTGATGCATATCGGTGTTTGTTGGTGGAAATGTTGCTGCCCCTCTTTCAGCCCCAGCAGATCAATTCCAACTCCAAGGGAGCTTTCGCCTTAAAGATGCCCAGTGACAAATACTGTCCAGAAGGCTCAACACCAGGGTCAAATCGGAAGACCAAATGACGATCCAGAAAAAGAGCTAAAATGCGCTACTGAAGCCTTTTGGTTAGTAGGAGTGAAGCGAAGAAATGAGCTCAGCGCGACAGTGACGCAACTCTCTCTGGTTCTACCGCGGGGCCCCTCCTCCATCATTCTTCCCTTGAGCCAAACATGACCGATCCTCAATTGACCAGCGGCATAAGCTTCGTTTGCTCCCCATCGAACCAAGGACGCCACTAGTGGTCAAAGATGATTATGGCTGGTGGTTCCAAACCAGAAAGGAGGGCGGAGGAGAACGATGGGGAGGTTTTGGGGTATAAATAACCCCCTCATCGCCATTTCTCTACAAAGGTACTCAACCGTGAGCACCTTGTTGACTCTATCGTTATACCTTTCCTCCAATTAGCTATTATCAGTCGAATTAGCCACGATGCCTCTTACTGGTCACTGCCTCTGCAACGCAGTCACTTACACTATTGATGTGGATCAACCCGCCCTGGTGGGATATGACCACTGCGATGACTGCCAGCGTCAGAGTGGCTCGACTTACTGTACGTTTACAATCTCATTCTTATTGCTTCTCGGTTTTTAGGACATTACCCTATAATCGTTCGGTTGTGCTGATCATTATACCCTTCTGCAGCGCTCGTTGCGGTCGTTCCCAAAGACAAGTTGACAATCAATGGCCCCGTCAAGAGCTATGCGAAGAACGGAAGCTCTGGAAAAGCCGTTCATCGTATTTTCTGCTCGGAATGTGGTTCTCCAATTGCCCACGACCCGGACGCTGCCCCTGAGATCATCGCCATCAAGGCTGGGACCTTGGACACCCACATCAAGAAGAATTTGAAGCCGGTGCGTGCATCCAGACACGTCGCTATCGACTTAATATATACTAATTACATGTCTTCCTGCCTAGGATACGGAAATCTGGACCGTCAGCAAGCTTCCTTTTTGCCAGGAGCACCTGGCCAAGCCCTTCGAGCACATGCCCCAATAGATGAGACGAAAATATGAATCGACATTGGAGTTGTTTGGTCAGACTGATGAATGACAATTTTACGTATACGATGAGCAATACGAGAATGGATTTCGAATTTGAAGACATTTGTTGCTACCTCACTGGAACTGGTTTCATTAAAAAGTTGTCTCATCTATTTAAAGGCACGTTGAATTACCTAGAAATATATTTCAAATTGCACAGTTGCATGTGTGGCAATTGCCATCCTCGATTTACTATTGTGTTGAGGTAAACCCTTCAGCCTGTACGGAGTACTCTAAACGCTTTGGGCGCTTTATTTGTTCTATCAATTGGTAGATAATACTCAAGAATAAAGCGGATTCTGGTGTAAATCCCCGAAAAAGTGCGGAACTTTAGCTTTCTTCCTCTCATCCTCTAGGACGTGCTCAACGCGCCTGAGCTATGGCCCGTTCGGCGCATTTATATACATACCTTTACTATAAAGGGAGCACATTGACCAAGGGGGCATCTCAAATGGATCCAGAGCACAGCCACCATGTCATCGGGGACACTTTACATCAGAGACTCGCGCACCAACGCGGAGTATGAGATTCCAGTCAGACGAAATGCAGTCTCAGCGATGGATTTCAAGAAGATAAAAGCCCCAGCAGCTGGCGCAGACCGAGCCGATCAAGTCGCCGGTGGACTACGCGTGCACGACCCTGGTTTGCAGAATACTGCCGTGGTGGAAACTGGGATAAGTTTTTCGTACGGAAGCTCTGAGCTTCTACGTGAGTTGATACAGCTGACGCGCTGGCGATTCCTAGCGATCATGAGAAAGGACTCCTTCTGTTTCGTGGGTATACTTTGGAGCAGCTTTGGGGCAGCGATTTCGAGGATATGCTGCATCTTCTCGTCTGGGGGAGTTATCCTACAGCCCTGCAGAAGAAGGAATTGAGTTCAAAGCTCGCTGAGGAAATGCTTATGGTTCCCGAAAACGTGCACAGGACCATCAAAGCCCTGCCGTGAAGCTCCTCCCATGCCATCGGAAGTTTCGAGTCCAGGCTAACAAAGCAAACCACTACAGAAGGACAACCTCACCCCTACCACTCATTTTCGCTGGACTTTCAGCGTGTCTAGCATACGTCCCGGAGAGTATTCCTGCATCAACTAAGCCCGATCTATATCAGAGCAATAGCAAAGAGGTCGACCGCGCAATCATTCGAACCGTTGCAGCCTACGCCGTCGTCTTTGGGTTGGTAAATTGTCATCGCAAAGGGGCCCCGTTTGCAAAACCATCTCGCGACAAGCCTTACCTTGAGAATCTGTTCAAGATGGTGGGCCTAGTAGATCCAACCACTGGACGCCCAGATTCAACAAAGCTATCATGTTTCCGACGCTTTGCCATGCTGAACGCGGACCATGGCATGGCTCTATCTGTATTTTCAGCATTGGTCACAGCGTCATCTCTCACAGACCCTATATCGTGTCTCATCACAGCGGTAGGAGCAGCATTTGGCCCCCTTCATTTCGGTGCTACCGAGTCAGCCCAGCTCGCGCTGCGGGAGATTGGAACGCCAGACAAGGTTCCCAAGTTCATCGAAGAAGTGAAGCAGGGCCGGCGAAGACTCTTCGGATACGGACATCGCTCGTACAAGGGGTTGGATCCCAGAGTTGCTCCAATTAGAACCATTCTCGAGGACTTGGATATCTCCTCGAACAGTCTCCTGAAAGTCGCCGAACGGATAGAGCAGGTTGCCTCGGCCGACGATTATTTCACGCACAGGGGACTCTACCCCAATGCTGACTTCTATGGGAATTTCGTCTTCACAGGGATGTAAGAGTCCTCTTTCAGTCCAGCCTGGAGATGTGACACGCTCGCTAAGGGTATCTGCAGAGGGTTTGAGCCGGATATGATTCCTGCCGCCATGGTGGCTCAGCGTATCATGGGGGTAATGGCACACTGGCGGGAGTATATGCGTAAGTCTTTCCAAGAATCGGTAAGATATCGGCCAGTTTCTGACTCTAGGTGGGTTCAGTGAAACGCGGCAAGTTGTTCAGGCCGTCTCATCTCTATACCGGAGATGTCAAAGAGGATAAGCCCCTGCCAAAGATATGAAAACCGATTGCAGACGTCAGACAGTCAGACAGAGCGAGATTTATGCATAGTTTATTATAGTCAGAAAGATGTTTTGCGTCCTTGAAACCGACTAATGTAAGGATATAAAGGCGTAGAATACGTAAAGTCGCCCGGCTAATGGGAACGGAAGTGAAAAGCGCCGGACTCTGGTGGTTTTGAGGATTTAGATAGAGAGAACTATGCTCAAGACGAGACCGAAACCCATTCAATATAACCATTCTACCAAAGATAGAGACTGCATGTGTTTATGTGCTGTCAGAATATGACACTATGACAGGGCAGCCAAACTTCTCTCAACCACCAGCCACTGAATCGACACCCCTGCTTTCCTCTCATCCTGGATCACAGCGGTATTCCATCTTCACCAATGGACAAAAACGCCTCATCATTCTTGCGGCTGCTCTTGCATCGAGCTTCTCGCCTTTCTCGGCCAACATCTACTATCCCTCTCTCAATTCCATCGCGGCAGATCTGCACGTCAGCAGTTCTCAGATCAACTTGACCATTACTACATACATGGTATTCCTCCCAGTCCATTGGGTTTCGCGTTCTTTGAAATGTTCAGGAGAGCCCGAAAACTTACAGTTCACTGATGAAGTGCAGATATGTCAAGGCCTCGCGCCCTCCTTCATGGGCTCCTTCGCCGACCAGGCCGGCCGACGCCCAGCATACATCCTCTGCTTCGTCATCTACATCATCGGCAACATTGCCCTCGCGCTCCAACACAATTATCTCGCTCTTCTGATCCTCCGTGCCGTACAGAGTTGCGGAAGCAGCGGGACTGTCGCACTCGCGTCTGCCGTCGCAGCGGACGTCATCACATCCGCCGAGCGAGGCATGTACATGGGTATCACCTCGCTGGGCAATATCCTAGCTCCATCCCTTGGCCCGATTCTAGGCGGTCTTCTCAGTCAGTACCTGGGCTGGCAGGCCATATTCTGGTTTCTCGCTCTCGCCGCGATAACCTTCTTCATACCGTTGGTCATCTTCTTTCCGGAGACTTGTCGCGCGATTGTCGGGGACGGGTCAGTGCCAGCTACAGGATGGAACCAATCAGTCTGGAACCGGTGGCGCAAACGACATGTTACCTCCAGCTGCGACTCCGAAGTTTCCCCAGACTCCTGCCGCGATGCCCATCCACAGCCCCAAAAAAGAAGAATCACCTTCCCAAACCCCCTGTCCACACTGCGCCTCCTCTTCCAACTCCCAACAGGCCCCCTCGTGTTGGCCAACGGCATCGTCTTCGCAAGCTACTACTCCGTCACCGCAGGGATCCCATCCCAATTTAAAGCAATCTACGGACTGAGCGATCTAGGCATCGGACTCAGCTTCATCCCAGCGGGCCTAGGCTCCCTCGTCAGCGCAACCTTCAACGGCCTAATCGTCGACTGGAACTACATCCGTCTCCGTCGAAAATCTGGAGAACCCGTCCCGAAGGACCAGAAGCAAGACCATGGCGAGTTCCCTATCGAGAGGGCACGGTTGCAGATCGGGCTTCCCATGACGGTTGCACCTCTTTTGCTTTCCTTTCCTGGGGTTGTAGTTGCAATGGGCTGATTTGTAGCAGGTCGCAGCGGCAATTTCAGTGGCCTGGTACGGCGCACTGATCGAAAGGGAACCGACGCTGAATGTCTCGCTGGCCCTAGTGTTCCTCATCTCGTTCTGCATCACGGCCGCATACAACGTGATGAACGTCCTCATCGTGGATCTGTACTACACCACGCCTGCCACGGCCATGGCGGCCAATAACCTCGTGCGATGTTTCCTGGGTGCGGCCGCAACGGCCATCATCCATCCGATGATCCAGCGATGGGGGAATCAGACTACGTACTGGGCTGTAGCGGGGGCGATGTTGAGTGTTATTCCGTTACTGGGGTTGGTCTATTGGAAAGGATTGGGATGGAGACGCAGCCGCTTCGCAGAGATTGCGATTGCTGGATGAGACAAGCGGCATTTGAACGGTTCCATTCATAGTCGTTATTCCCCGGGGAAGAATTCGAGTTACACAAACGCTCTTTCCGGTAGTTCCTGACATCCAGCTTGGTATAAAATCATCTCTCAGATCTCCTTGAGTAGACAGCTAGTCAATCTAACAGGATTCTGAGAATTATTATGTGTAGCTTGCATTCACTATGAACGCATTCCTCCCACTGATCCTATTCACAGCCCTATCTGCAGCACAGTGGACTCTTCCTCCCGGAATTTCCACCCTTCAGCTGCGATACCCCTCGACCCCCTGGATCTCCCCAGGCGACACCCTCAAACAACCAGGTAGGTCTCCGTCCCGATTCCGGTGAGTGCTCAGGGGGATGGAACTCAGGCGAAAGTGGAACACGAACAGATGCACTCCCCGTACCATGTATCAGCACTCTGAACCTGAACACCACTCGCACCTACCTCCTCCTCTTCGTCGACATCGACGTGGTCTTGGAATCATGCTTGACCACAGTCTTACATTGGTACCAGCCGCACATGACGGTATCTGCTACCAGTCAGTGCAATGATAATGGAAACGAATGGCTAGTCAACAGAACTTCCACCGGAGCAGAATATATCGCCCCCCAATCGCCACCGTACACACGCCATCGATATGTCTATCTTCTCTACGAGCAGGACCCCGACTATGTGTTTCCAGAATGTTTCGGCCACATTTTCCCCAAGACAAGAGAGGGAAGAGGCGGGTTTGATGTCAAACAGTTTGTCGAAGTTGCTGGATTGAAAGCGCCAGTGGCAGGGAATTTCTTCTACGTCGACAATGACGCGGCACCGACGACGACGACATCAGGAGGGTTGGTGCCCACCACAACGTGGTTCAGATCGGCCCCATGCAGAACTGAGGAACCGAAGAGCACGGGGTTCATCTTCATGGAGGTGGATCGACAGCAGATGGTCATATAATTCCATGTAGGACAATCAGAGTGTACGAACGCCATAGCTGGAACTCTACTTTGCTCGATAAAGCGAATCAAATTCGAGAATGAATCAAGTCAGAGCGTGCTTTTGATGCTCTGTGAAACGTGATATGGAAGAAGCTGTAGAAACGTTGCCCTGTGTAACCATCAGGCACACATCAGCATAGTACAATTTTGACAGCAGAATTGCAACGCACACGCAGGCCATGCAAATACCGCTGTCAATATTGAATTATTCACCTCGGTAGTCCATTTCTCAACATCCACTCATCCGTGAAACATAAACCATGTAACATGAATGGCCAGAGGGCTGCAGTGCCAATGCTACCTCATGGTCTATTCGCGCCCTCAATGTCTCGGGCTAAGGGAATGGGAAGATCAGGAGGCTTTGTAGTCGCTCGATACACAGAAGGAGACTGTCAGTGCCAATCAACCCACTAGTATATACAAACCACAGTGCGAGAATGAATTGGCTGGACAACGACGATACCTATTACCCAGAAAAGTATCCATATTCTTGGTCATCGTGCCTTTCTTTCATCGTGATGAACCGAGACAAACAGTCCAAGCCATCACCTGATCGACTTCCCAAGAGCGTCAAAGTGCGTTCGACCTGCAACGCATGTCAACAGGCCAAGATACGCTGTAGCCATGAGAAGCCATCTTGCCGCCGGTGCCTGAAGCATAACATAGAGTGCATCTACAGTATGTCTCGACGACTGGGAAGACCTGCCAAGAGGAGGGAGTCTCAATACGCCGGTCTTCCAGCGGATACGCAACGCATGGACCCTCGGCGCCACCAACGAGACAGGAAGACGCCAGTTTCCAAGAGAAAAGCAAAAGAAGACCAGGCGCACAACAAGGACGACGAAGACGACTTCCCGCAAAGTCTTGGAGAAACAGTAGCATATGATAAGGTTGCCGTTGACCAGACTATGCTAGACGACATCTCCCTGGATGACACTAATCTGAGTACGCCTACCTTTGGCGAAAAGGATCAATTGCCATCATTTGCAGGTAGACTACACCTTCTCAGCGAAGCAACCAGGCAAATTCATTGACGAAAAATGTATCCTATAGTCAACGATGCCCTCGATTTCTCTTCTGACAGCTGGCTGCAAGAATTTCTCTCTCAGCAAGGTCCTGAACTTGCACAAGAGAGTGATCTCTTTGACACGCTGGCCCTCGAAAAGCCCAAGATCGAGAAGCCATGGATTGTCATGAAACAGGGGTACAACGATTCGGAGTCCTCTCCGCAGAGCTTTGCCATGTCGCCCCCGGTAAGAGAGGATCACCCGCCGACAGTGAGCCTTTATTCCGCAGATGATCTCGTGACCACTGAGGCTGTTACCGGCAGTACCCAGTGCCTTGCTACCATTGAAGCTTCCTGTCCGGAATACCTCAAGAATGGCGCTTCAGTCCGGCCTCAGCAGCCCTCAATGGCAGAGGCTCTGTCTGGAACATCGTGGACTGCAACAGAACAAGCAAGTCTGCTTGCCCATTCGAGAGTTTGGAAGCGTCAGAATGACTTTGGCTTTTCAACTGATAATTTTTCTCCGAGCCTCACGCCCGTGAGTACTGGGACCGGTCGTCAGTGTCAATGTCAGTGCCCTGAACAAATCATCAGAGAGCTCATCCGTATAAACATTTGTACGTCTCGAACAGGATCATCAGCTACGATTGATTCCATCTTGGACTCTCAGCGAATTGTGCAACATTTGGCAGAATCTATCCTGCAATGTGCTCTCTGTTCCAAGACACGAGTCAATCTCCTCATGGTGGTGGTTGTCAGCATTGATAGTTTAATCACAACACTTGAAGTACTCATGTCCGGGGACGGTCGCTTGGTAGAGGGTGTTTTGCCCGAGTTACAGGATCATATGCTTCTCCAGCCCGATTTTGAGCATGAAATTGCCATGGATGGGAGCAACCGAAGGTACACAGGTGGTGTTTTCCATTTCAGGGCCGAGATACAGAATTGTCCCTTAATGGTTGGTGGCTTCTGCGTTCCACTGGAGGAGAGATGTTTGTTCGTACATCAAGTGCTGTACGCAAGACTGACTGGACTGTTGGCCATCATCCGTCGCATAAGGCATTGTACGCAGCAGATGCTGGCGATATCTGCTTCGCGTGCAAGGTTGAGCATGATGATGGAGACGGATCGGAGATTACAGTTGTTTATGATGAGGATGAGAATGTTCACTAGGTGATGACGATAGTGGGTTCTGTAGCGGTGTGCTTGTCTGTCGAGGCGGGCATAGTCTCGTCAAGCGATGCCTGAACGATTCATTAATATCCATTTTCAATCTCAAAAACCGTCGAGGCCGATGTCTGAGAAGTCGGTCGATCGGGTTAGCCTCGTGCTTACTCTGAATCAGCCTGTTTCCCAGCTCCCTCACTCGGTAGTGTGCAGCTTAGTAGAAACTCAGAACAAAACTTACACCTATCGAGGGCATGATGCTGTTCCCTGTACCGAATACCACCGCTACTCTATTGTTGATCCTTCGCGAACATGACTCTAGCAATGTTGCTGTCGAAGTTGGTGTGACCTTTCAGCTGACCTGAGAAACGTGCGTGTACCACATTCAATCACGGTTGTTCAATCCGTGCCGTCAACTTCAGAGAATGATGAGGCTGTCTTAACAATGTTCACAAACGCTGTTCTCATTGGCTTCCATGGTAGATTGCCATCGTGCATGTGAATTGCAAGGAACCATGGGAGTGACTGCAACCCTCACAGCAGCCATTGGTATTTCACCTCTGAAGAGAGCGTGTTCCTTGATTTGTACCCGGGGGAGTCCTACTCGACAATGCCTATGAGGTCAGCAATGTCAGCACCCACTGTCAAGATATCTGATTCAGACCTCGTTCCTTCTCTGGTATCCTAAAATTTTCGTCATCCAACTCTTTGCGTCATTGTATCAACAATGGAGTCTGAGCATACGTGCCAATGTTCCATGGAAGTACTGCATCTCATGAACGAGCTCCGTAACATCCCCACCGTTGTGGAACTTGGAACGGTCTTTGATTTGATTCACCGTGTCTGCAGCCAAGGTCAAGCTGTCAACAAATGCAAAAACTGCAGGAGAAGCCCCCAAGCATCCATAATGACCTTTCCTACATTAGCAGAGCAATGTCTCCTACTATTCGAGGCCATATGCGCTGCGTACAGCATCAACCGGCAGAATACCTTGTTCGACACAACAGTTCTTGCCTTTGATCAGCAATTACCCCCGTTTATTTGTGTTAGAAGCACAGTACAGCTCGGGCAAATGGAGCTCAACGAGGAGGAGACAGTTCTCCTTGTACGGATGCTGTTAAGCCGCAATCTCATGAGGCTGCTCGGGCTTCTGGAAGCTCTTAGGGACATCATGCGGGCGCAGCCAAAGGAGACAGTGCTTACGCACCGCATTGGGACGATGTCGTTCCGATCCTGGGACGCTTCAGTAGAGTCCATCATTCACCGGCTAGTGATATTCATGGAACAATTCCAGCTCCAGTTCAGTGAGCCTTGCGTTCTGCTTGTTTCTCGTTTGCGGAGTCTGACTGGCATACTTAGTTGACACGACATGCTTATCGACCCTGCGTGAGGGATCAGCTTTACCCTATTCTTAAAGTGGGAGAGAGGGGGCGGTGGCTTTGCCTTGGAATAGACTTTCATGTGCTTTCAAAGTGCTTTTTCAGTAGTAAGGATGAGACGAAGAGAACTAAGAGCATACATGGAGCCACCAGTTTACCGGTTCAATCGCGTTAATTCCCTGCTAATCTCAATTCAGTGAATTCTTCCCATGCTTTCCTTGTCTCCACTCGAGGTGTATGATAGTCTCGTAATTTGTCATGACCGATGAAGAACGTTGGGCGTATGATCATTTGGGCCAAGGGCGCTCCCAAAGTCCGACCCACTGACCCCAGCCGATGACTTTGCCAACCATGGCCTCTTTGATCATTTGTTTGTTGACATGATCTGCTTGGTCAAACTGGAGAGGCTCGTTGAGTGCGATAATGGTGAAAATGTACCGGTGCAAGCCGTGACCCAGAGGCGGAGCGGGACCGATGTAAGAATTACCGGTCAGATTAGGAACATACTTCCAATTAGAGTGAGTCAGTCGTTCTCCTGCATCTTTTTTCTGTTTGATGTCGCCATGCGTTGCGGTGGTGGTCGTTGGAGGAATACCGTAGAACAGGCCATGGTGGATCACGAGACGGGGAATTGGCAGGTCAATGTCTTCGCAGATCAGCACATACTCCTTCACTTCACCTTCAGCAGGAGCAGTCCAGCGAAGCTCAGGAAATCTGCCCTTGCTGTCCTCGGCCAGGCAAGTATGGAAGTCAAGCAGTGTTGAGCCGGTGGGCCCGCATTCTGGTGCATCAAGGGTCATGTTGGGTTCGGGAAGATCTTTGAATGCAGCACTTCTGATGATCTGCTTCGAATCATGGCCCCGTACGCGATATAAGAGCTTTCCCAGGGCGCACTGGAGGTAGTCGAGGATGCCGGTCATTTTGCTTGGCTAGGACCAGTGAACCCAGACGGCCGGATGGCAATGGAGATTGACTTTGAGCAACCGCTTTGAGAAGAGTCGAACGTGAGCTTGATTTAACCTGAACTGAGAGCGAGCAGAAACATAAGATGAAGAGGGAGTGAAAGATAGTACCTAGGAGAAGAAGGATACAAAAGCTACTGCCGGGTGTTGTTATCTGTATAAAATGAGGAAGGAAAGCCTGAACCGGTCCGGTAGCGGGTGCTGCTTCCATTTCTGGATAACCTCATGAGGCGCTATATTTGGAAGGCGACAGTGTGGCAGTCCGGCGAATTATGCTCTCCTTCTCATTATCTGCTGCCAGTAGAGCAAAAGGCCAAGAACTTTGTGGAATGCACCTAGCGAATTCACCCCTTCTCATGTACGACAAGCCAAGTCGGACTCATGGTATGGAGTAGAAATTGACTCCGAGCGGAACGGACCTCAAGTACAGTTGGTAGATTTCGGGCGCATCGTACGCAACTACAACGGTCATGAATGCTTTTATTGACTGAATTGTCATCCAGGCTCTCAATTTGCCCTTTGTCGATCCATATTGGACCACAATTACTGCATCTATGGCAGTCAAAGAGATGCTCCAACCTTTGCTATAAGTTTTCGTATGGTGGGCAAAATCTGAACCGCAGAAGAACAAAAGCAAAGATACCACTGGAGCTTTGCAGCTGCCAATATATCTATCCATAGATCAATATTGACGAATACTCTCGCGTTAAAAGGCATTTCCAAAGGTGTCAGAATCCGTCTATCACGCTTATATTTGGAGTCCCCATTATATAGATCGGACAATCCAATCACAGCATGAATTTGAGCTTCCGCAAACATCCGGTTTGATGATGAATCAGCGGTTGGAAGTTGATCAGGAACAAGTTGCGTCAACAGTCAAGCAAAAAAGGTTCGCGATCCAGCATCACTCTTCGCAGCATTCCGCTCGCTCTGTGCCATGGTGGCCACCGTGAAGATATTTTGAATCCTCAATTGGTTTTCTCCCTCCATACCCAATCTATCTTATCTTTATGGTTTTGACCTCCACCCCACTCGCGTCTCCCGGCGCGGAGGCCCAACAGCGCCCGCCTCGGTATCCCGGCGAGGACACAACCCCGACCAGCCGGAAGGAGATCTTGGGATGGTACGCGTATGGAATTGCAGCAGAGGTCTTTGCAGTTTGTGGTGTGGGTATGCTAGCTTATTCCTCGATCTACTCTGGCTGAGAGGGCTCAACTCTGATTTTCCCGTTACGGAACAGGCTCATTCCTGCCACTCACACTAGAGCAACTGGCACGCGAACGCGGGACCCTGCTGGCAAGCCACCTACCATGTGTAGGCCCTAGCTCGCCTTCTATAGCCCCCGAAAATGGAACGGCAACGGTGATGCTCAGACGCGATGGCACGGGTAATGATCAGTGTGTGGTCAGCCTGTTTGGGCTGCAGGTCAACACCGCCAGTTTTGCCATGTACACGTTCTCGCTTGCGGTTCTCGTTCAGGCATTGACATTGATCTCCTTCAGCGCGCTGGCTGATTACGGTGAGAACAAGCTTTTCACCTTGATGGTAAGACTGTGCTGACGGTAATTCTCTCGCACAGAAAAGAACCGCAAAACCCTCCTCCTCGCGTTTGGATTCATTGGCTCGATGACGAGCATGTTATTCGTCTTCATCGCGCCACCAGTCTATATCCTTGGATCGCTTCTTGTCGTCGTCGGTGTGACTTGTCTCGGATCCTCGTTCGTCGTTCTCAATTCCTTTCTGCCTGTTCTGGTAGCCAATGACCCATCTATTCAGACCACACACGAGGAGGAAGGGGAAGAATTATCCCATCTCAACTCCAGTAGAGAGTTTGCGCGATCTGAAAATCCTGACGATGAAAACGACAGGGATTCTGACGATCATTCTATGACCGAACATGGACTTAAGACAAAAGAAGCGGGATCGGCTTCACCTGAATTACAACTGTCCACTCGGATCTCTTCTAAAGGTGTTGGGCTCGGCTATTGCGCAGCCGTTTTGGTACAAATACTCAGTATCTTGATGCTATTTGGGCTGTCAAAGACATCGTTACCCAAAATTTCAGGGACTCTGCCTCTCCGGTTTGTGCTTCTTCTGGTTGGAATCTGGTGGTTCTCTTTCACCATGGTCTGTCGGCGGTGGCTGCGGAACAGACCCGGGCCTCCCCTGGATTCTTCAAAGGGAGCGGCGGGTACTAGCCGGTGGCGCATCTGGCTGCGGCTGATTGGGTTTGCGTGGAAGTCATTGTGGAAGACGGTCAAAGTGGCAGTCAAACTTCGAGAAGTGATCATCTTCCTCATTGCCTGGTTCCTTCTTTCAGACGCGATGGCGACGGTATCCGGTACAGCTATTCTATTTGCGCGCACAGAACTAAAGATGAGCACAACAGCCGTTGGACTACTGTCGATCACAGCTACCCTGTCAGGCATGGCCGGGGCCTTTCTGTGGCCTGTGGTTTCGCGGCGGCTCCGACTCAAATCGAATCACACTATTATGCTTTGCATCGCCCTATTTGAGGTTATACCTCTTTACGGCATGCTTGCCTACATTCCTCTTTTCAAGAAATGGGGCGTGATTGGGCTTCAACAGCCATGGGAGATCTTCCCCCTGGGGATTGTTCATGGCCTAGTATCCGGTGGACTGTCATCCTACTGCCGATCTTTTTTTGGTCTGCTAATCCCCCCTGGTAGCGAGGCCGCATTCTATGCTCTGTATGCGGCTACGGATAAAGGAAGCTCGTTCATTGGCCCTGCCATTGTGGGAATACTCATCGATGCTACGGGCCAAGTTCGGTCGGGCTTTTTCTTCATTGCGGTCCTGATTCTCCTCCCCATACCGCTGATCTGGATGGTCAATGCAGAAAAGGGACGGCAGGACGGCTTAGCCATGGCAGAGATATTAGAAAAGTCGCATGGAGAGCATGCCTCTGATTTTGGAGGCCCTTCGGAAGAGGCCGAGGGATTACTGGCTCGCAATTTATGATTGATTATGCGTCGACGATAATGATCATGATAGAATCTTATATAGAACGCTCATGCCCCGTGATTACCTCCATAGACATATGAACTACTTCTGAACTACGATGGTTTCCAAATCCAATCTCTTGGGCCTCAGTCATGGCTCAGTGATGGTTGTTGAACGTTCCAAACCACCAGATATTTCCAGGCCATCTCGCACGGCATCGCAGCAGCCATGAGACTCGACTCGAAAGTCCTTGAAAATAGAGATGGGGCCGCAAGGTCGCTCGATCGCAACAGGCCGCATCCTCCAAGATGTGCTCTAAGGAGGTGTTGCCTCAGTTAGTGGGCCCTGGTAATATTCCACTCCTGTCACGAGCTGAGAGTTCCCCCAATTGAGCGAGAATGTTTATGTGGCGGCAGACAGGGCAACGTCGCTTTTTGGTATACCACCTTAAATCATTGAATGGGACATAGGCTCGTCATGAGACGTACCACGCGTTATTATATTAGTTTTCTACCGTCTGGGTTAGGATAAAGGAAATATTGAATCATGAAGGTCCGTCGGTCATTTGGAAAGTCTTGTGAATGTTGACCTGGTAACGGGGCCATGATACCTCGGGAAGGTTTAGATCCTCCTGGCTGCTGTGGTCGTCATTCAGATGGCTTCGCACCATTGGCGACGAGACGGTAGTTACCACGACGTTGGAAGCATCGTCCGGAAGGTCAGGGCGCCAGTAGCTCGGATCGCGAGAATTCTTCTTCGATGGATCCCCACTCAAGCTAGTAAGCGGGTATTGCCTGCTGCTGCGTTTGCCACTGCGTCTGTGACGACCGTAGGACGGGCTGCCGTCCAGAAACCAGCGGAATAGGGGGCGGAGAGTGACAAGGCTGCCGGCCGTGATGCCGAGTCCTGTTTCGATGACGGACCAGATTGCGATTTGGTAGGTGGAGTCTATTCGTTACACATTAGCAGGGTCCATGGGAGGATCAAGTCTGTACTCACATAGAAAATCATCATCTTTGTAATAGTGAAGGAATGGGAGTCGGATAATCACTGCAACACTCGCACTGAAGACGGATGGTTAGTGTGTGATGACGGCACTGGCAGATGAAAATGATGTGCCGGGTGATACATACACAGCTCCCAAACTGAGAATCGAGCCAAGCGCGATCTTCGTCTTCCTATTCATCTGCAGATTCCAAACCAGAAGTGCGGGCATGATGCCGAGAGTCAAGTCGCAGAAGATGGTGAGCGAACTGTAGAGATAGGCAATCGCCAAAAGAACATCGGTGGACATGCATTTTCCCGAAATGAGAGGGTTCACACGGAGCCAGAAGTAGGAGACGGGATTGCAGTCCAGTAGCAGGACGAACCAGAACATGAGTCCGATGGCGATAGAGAGGGCAATGACGGTCCACAGGATGATGCGATGCAATCTTCGTACGGTTAAACGCAGGAGCGCCATGGAAATGGATACTTTGGTGATAGCAGACGACCAAATATAGAGCATCTGACCAAGCCACCACCACTGAGGTGATTATCAGAAAGGATTATCAGGTACAAGCGGAATACACCATACCAGTAGGGATCTTTTAAGCTCATCCAATGCCCCCAGACTCATAAACTCGGCCATCCTATGACCAACTCCGCTCTTTGAGCCAATCATACAACAGATGTCCAAGAATACGAAGAGTGCCTGGTAAAAAATTAGCCTTCTCGGTCATCAGATTAGTCCAGCATCGTAGTACCAAGGCAAGAACCATGAGAGCATCATCCCACCCGAATGCTCGCACCAAGTACAGGCGAACAAAGCTACGTAGAACAACTGCCAAGACCGAGATACCCATCATTGCCACAGACACCACAAAGACCGCAAGTGCCCGGTCGACGAGGGGCAGAGAGCTGCTCATTGTGACGGTGTGAATATGGCACTTGCTCGGCGCAGCCCTTTAGCCGGTCGTGGATTGATTTTTTCGTTCTCAATAGAGAAGGGTCTGGTATTCAACCCCAACAGGAACGTCCAAGTACGTTGACAAGTGCCATAGTAGAAAAGAGAGGAATAAAGCCGCTGCCAGTCTGCAAATTACTTCCGGGTACCTCTCTAAGAACCCAATAGATTTTGATTTCCAGGGGTCATAAGAAAGCCGGGCCTTCGTTTAAGAGCAGGCCCGAGGAGCTGTCAGCCCCAGCTATATGGGACAAAGCAACCCAGCAAACGAGGAACCAGATCTTTAGCTCTAGATCCATTGTTCTGCTCTGGGGTCCGGATCGTGGCTGTCGAGTAATACTTCCGAGATCTAACCTTTCAAGGCACCAAACCCGTGGGCTAAGGTATCCACTTGCCCAGTAAGTGATGGGGAGTGACTCGAGTGAGACCTCGAGATCTGGGAAGTGGGAACTGGCCAACTGGAAACCGAGGGCAGAGATCCGAACATCCTAGAGGCCAAGGGGAGTTTAGAGAAGAGTCGGGGCCACTTACTCTCCTTTTTCTGCTTTGAGTTCAGAATTGGCTAAGAGAGCCAAAGTGTGGGGGCTTCTCAGGTACCCAGTCTCATAATGATCACTATTCTACTCCGTAGTTCGTGGAAATAATGATAATCTGAAACGCGGAAATCGACCATCAAAAGCTGAAAGGCTGAGGCACTAGTCTAGGACTCTAGACCCTAGCGTCTCGACCATCACTTATTGTAGGTAACCGACGGCGGATTCGGTCTAATCTCTTGGAATATCAGTGAGTGCAACCGAGCTGTAGGTTTTCATTGATTTTCTATCACTGGAAAGGAGAGGAGGGCGGATAGAATGAAGATAGATATGTTGTCCCTCCATAGTCGCATCCAATATCGCTTCTCTCCTTTCTCGCTCGTTGCAGTTTCGTCAATCTAGACGACTCACCGGAATGTTCCAGCACGTCTTTATGACATCCACCGAATCTAGACCTTAGATGTGAAAGCAAAGCCATCTCAGATTCCGATTCCCTCCTTGAACTTTGTCGAGTCATGATGCGGGCCCCTATTCCGAGAAACGACAGATCTCTATCAGTCTTATTTAGTCGTCAGAAACTGCAGTGGGGCTGTGCACGCGATGAATAAAAAACGTAGTTAAATTGAGCATCCTCTCCATCCATGGTCGAGTCATTTGTCGAACTCACTTCGAAGCGATGCGCCTTGGATTGGAGTAGAAATACTCCGTACTTCTGGAGTCATAGATCTATTGAAATGAGTGTTAGCCAAGGTGGATGATTTGTGATGATTTATGATGTCAAGGGTGAAGCTGAGGTTGTTTATTTACCTTTCTTTCGGTTTCTGCTTTTCAAGAAAAAATTGATTTGGTGATTTCTGTGGGTTGAGCTAGGGGGAAGATGTAGAAGAGATGGAGTTCTCCTCATGAGCTGAGAAAATATCTCCTCCACAACCACACCACAGGACACAGAAGCATCAGAAACCTCCCCCCCAATTCAGTCTATCATGTCCTCCCTTGAAAACTATCAAAAAAGGAAATCTCTGCCCTTTTCCTCCTCTATTGATCAACTCGCGCTTAAGGATGTCGTAATATTAAGGTATCTGCTATTGCAAGGTACTATCAGTCTGGTTGTTGCAGCTGCAGGTCTGAATATCTTCCCCATTGAACACAAGTACATATTCCCAGGAACCGTCGAGACTCACCGCAGACTGAATCGTGCTACGGCATCAACTAATAGAGACAGACTGTCAGGGAACCCTTGTTGATCAAATGAAGACTACCTAATAATGCAAGCAATTGTTGCAATACCTCTTCTGATTGGCGTATGCGTCTGCGCATCCCAGCCACAGTCGGTGCAACACAGATTGGCTGACGCAAAGCAGATGAGCGGTCTAGGGTGTATCCCATCATCATTAATATGAACTGACGCCTGATTCACAACCCTCGCCATTCTTCACTCTGCCGTCAAAACTAACGTCTACATGTCGCAAGCCGCAATGGCTATCGAGAAATGCACCTCCCATTGGGACGACTTCCTCGCCAATTATTGCGATATCGAATTCGTCTGGCTACAATTCATGTCCTATCGCAGTTTGGTCTACACGCGCATGTTCCCTGTGAACAAATTCAAAGCCATGGTACAGAGAGGCAGATTTATCACCATCCCCAAAGTCGTACTCCTCCTGGGTCCCGGTGATGTTATCGCCGAAGGAGGTCTGCCATCGGGTAAATTCTGGTTGCGGCCGGATTTTGAGACCGCATATTGCCAACCCGGATCCAATGGAACTCGAGCAGTCATGATGTGCGACTTTGTAGACGATGAGGGCGCGCCGATCGGGGAGTGCGCCAGGTCGCGGCTGAGAGCGCTGGAGGAGACACTGCTGAGCGAGCTGGGGTTCTCGACATTGGTCGGATTTGAAATCGAGGTGATGTTCATGCGAGGCGAGAAGAGCGATGGGGGGATGCGGTTCTCCATGGCCAATTACGAGCATTCGTGGTCCAGCATGACGGCCGAGGACGAGTCGATGCTGGAGATGATGGAGACCATTGCGCGGACGCTGGCTACGGTGGATGTTCCCCTGGAGCAGTTCCATGCGGAGGCAGCACCAGGTCAATGGGAGTTTGTCCTGCCTCCTGCGAGGCCTATCCAGGCCGCTGATATGCTGATCAGGGCTCGGGAGATCATCACACGAGTTGCAACCTCGTTCGGATATCATGCTACGGTGTATTCGCGCCCATCACCCGTCCATCCGGGTAATGGGGGCCATGTACATTTGTCAGTAAGTTCTGTGGGGAAATCAGCGAATTGGGTCCAGAAGGCAGAATCCTTCTTCGCAGGTATCATGAATCATATGCCCGCCGTTATGGCGTTCTCCTTGCCTCAAGACATCAGCTACAGTCGTGTCGCAGCTGGGCTTTGGAGTGGGGGCGAATACGCGTGCTGGGGGTGGGAGAACAAAGAGGCTCCACTTCGTCGCATCGAAGAGAATCATTTCGAGTTCAAGCTGGCTGACGGGCTTGCAAACCCTTATCTCACTTTGTCCGCAATGATCGCTGCTGGAATCGAAGGGATGCGAAACCACGAGCCTCTGCAGGGAGGTGACTGCGTGACCTCTGCATCAGAGCTGTCGCCGGACGAGCGGCAAGCCCTGGGGATCAACACGATCCTACCAAAATCACTCGACGAGAGCTTGAAGGCCTTGGAGAAGGACGATGCCGTAGGCAAACTGTGTGGCCCAGACATCATCACCACATATGTGCTAGTCAAGCGGACGGAGGCAAAGATACTGCGCCAAATGGCTGTTGACGATCGAAAGAACTGGCTGATCGCGAGGTACTGAGCTGACAGGTCGCATTTTTTGACATGTAGAGATTCTAGAACCCAAACGCCAACGCATGCCAAATGGAACTGAGCCCCTAAATCCAAATATAGACTTCTGGCTAGTTGTCGGCGTGCGCCCGGCTACCGACCGCTAACATTTCCCATGCCCGTAAGACATGTCATATTGATGCACCAAACTACCATCCATATCCCCGGTATGCACATTGCATCATCAATTCCTCGACGATCGTCGATCTCGCGGGGTACTCGTCCTCCTGATCGATCGATCATGATTGTTGCGATTGAGGAGTCGCGGATCGATCCCCATCGGCAGAGCTCTTCATGTCTTGTCCGCCCACCATTCATACATAACATGGTAGCCTCATGGATAGGTCAAAGAATGTCTGATGGGTTTGATAAGGGTTGTGGGCGTCTGTCAGACGATCATTTGATTTATCATTCGGTGTCATGGCTTAAAGGCAGCGAGGTCTGATGCTTACTGCAATGTTTTCTCGTCAAACGCGAGCAGTGGCGTTGCTTTCTGGAGATTACGCCGTATGACTTTTCTTTAACAAATTTTGGTCATTGATAGTATGGATGTCTTTGAGAATTTTTCTTCAGAGGGCTACAACAGCTTTCCCGTCGCCGAGTCTCTGCGGTCCTTTCCATCAACGGTGGCCCTGGACGACCATGGCCTCCTGGTCAGCGAGTCGAGAGCACCTAGTCGTCAAGAGCAATACTCTGACGAGCAGTCTCGGTGAGGGAAATTGGAGATTCGAAGACGACAACTTAAGATTGCTAACGGATGTTAGAGCCGATGAGCTTCTCTTCGGCTTTCCTCAACCCCCAAGGAGCTCGCATAGCATGGGCAAGAATTTCAAGGACGGAGGCAGTCCTCTCACGCCTAAGCCATCCATCAAGGCCTTGCGCCGAAAATATATGATTCACGAACTGCCCCTGTTGCAAGCAGTGAATCCATACGATGGATCGGATCAGTTCAACCCGGTCAACGAACAGGGCGTCTCCTACGACCTGATCGCCCCATATGAGGGAGAGACGACGCCATTGCACAGCCTGGAGCGACTCGGTGACCTTATGTTCTCCTCGGAGCACATGCTCTCCATCCTGAACAACCCACGGTATCTAGCGCGTTTTCGCGAGTTTCTGGTGGAAGAACGACCGCAGTCTCTCCCTGCCCTGACGTATTACTTGAATGCGCTCAAGGCTCTAAAAGCAATCAACTATGCCAACTCCCTCGTCCGTGTGTCGATCGATGTCCCCACGCCGGGGATCAGGACCGCTGATTCCCCCATTGGACCGACCATGGATTCTGCGCTGGAGAAGCGCGTCGACGAGGCGCTTATGGCTCTGACAGCGGAGGAGTTGCCCGCCTTCATCACATTCAACTGTATCAGAATCACCAGCAAGGTGGTCGAGAAGCGGATTCGAGGGACGCTCCCGAAGGGGTTCCGGGGGACGGCCGACGCTCTGGCAGAGGTGTTTTGCTTGACGGATCCATCGCGCCCGGACAATCCTATTATTTTCGCATCGGAGGGTAGGTTCCTTGGTCTGTAGGACAATCCATGCCACTGACAGAAGCAGAATTTCACCGTTCAACTCAGTATGGCATGGACTATGTGCTCGGGCGGAATTGTCGCTTTCTGCAAGGGCCAAAGACAAACCCTAATAGTGTTCGTCGGCTTCGTGAGGCGATTGCGGCTGGACGGCATCATTCCGAACTGTTTTTGAACTAGTCAGTAGCTGCTCTTGTCCTGCGATGTGTGATTCCCTAATCTGACCCAAGCACAGCCGACGCGACGGCTCTCCCTTCATGAATTTGCTGCAATGCGCCCCCCTTTGCGACAGCAAGGGCACGATCCGCTACTTCATCGGCGCTCAGGTTGATGTCTCCGGCCTGGCAATGGACGGCGCTCAGATGGAATCCCTGCAGAAATTGCAAGAGCAACAACACAAACGCGAGCAAGCCGATGAAGATGGCGAGGGTACCTCGTCTGCATCCGAGTATTCTGCAAAATCGAAGAGCAAATTCCAAGAGATGGCCGAATTGTTCAGTCCGCGGGAGCTGGTGAATGTGCAAGAATATGGAGGTAACTTGTTCAACCCGGTAAACAACACAAGAAACAGCACACGCAGTCCGAGACCCTGGACTGCAATGGACAATTCCTCTTCCGAAAGTGAAGTGGAAACTGCAATGCGAGAGCGGGCCACCAACTCGTCCTTGGTCAGAGGTTCCTTGACTGGAGTGTACGAAAATGTATGTGCCAGGTTGTCTTCTTACCCCAAATGTGCCGACCAGAACTGACATTTTGAGTGAGTAGTACCTCCTCGTCCGGCCATATCCTTCTCTTAGGATACTGTTTACCTCTCCCTCGCTTCAGATTCCCGGAATTCTTCAAACTTCCTTCTTCTCACGGATCGGCAGCTCCTCGGTTGTCAAGGACCAGCTGCTGGAGGCAATGATGTCTGGACGCAGCGTGACGGCGCGGATTATGTGGATAACGCGGTATAATACAGAAGGACGCTCTCGATGGGTGCATTGTACGCCGCTTCTTGCCAGCAATGGCAAGGTGGGCGTGTGGATGGTGGTAGTCGTGGATGACGACGAAGACAGCGAGATCAAGTGGCGAGGGAACTGGCCAACAACTGTGTAGACTGAGTATCAACCCCCTCGTCTCACCCAGCCTTCCCTCTAGAAATTAGACTTACCATAATTTCAATCTGAGCAACGGCTCCTGCTTTACCTTCCAATAGTCATTGGAAAGTGATAGTTACTGAGCATGCTCCCTTGGCATAGTCGAAGAGCCCAGCCAGACAAGTCAACAGGAGCACGCAGTCACATGCAATCCTGTTGTCAACGTTCACCCCTTTCAGTAATCACGACGTACTTACGAGCTGGGTTCCTCCCCACTGCCCTTCAGCATCGCCACGACCCAACTTCGTCCTCAGAATTGCGGAGGCCTCTCTCACTCTCCCCCTGCCCAGACTCAACTCGTATTCCGTCTGCCTGCGTGTTCACTCTTCATTGTTCAGCTGGGTTGCCACTCATCTGATCCTTCTGGCGAGCACTCCGTTCACGTTGATCCATTTCTCCAGCCATCGAGGTCATTGCACGCATACGGTGTTCGCCGAACGAGTCTGGGAGAAACCTAAATCCATTCAGAGCTCTTCTAGATCGTTCGAAGGTTGTCGGAGAGTGAAGTTGTTGAATGTGGCTCTTCAGGATATCCCTCTACCAATAGATTCGTTTTTGGGGTGATGGTTGACAATATCAGTGGTGATGTACTCCCGAACATTCGATCACTCCGCACAAACGGTGGCATTCTGGCCATGTGATTTTGCATATACAGTCGACTATCTTTACCACAAGCACCAATAGACAATGACAAGCACCCTGAAATCTGCTTTTGGTGGCAACAACACGGCCGGTGTAACGACGAGGTTGAGTCCCGTCTTTACCTGAAGTGCGAAAATTATCGACAGAAAAGTATGGACTCATGGAGCTCATCATTCTTCCAGCCGCATTCGTCCAACGCATCAATGACCACGAACGCTCCTAAATATTCCTCGACTATGCTCTGCACCGCTTTCGGGACATCGTCAATGGCCAGCCGTGGAGGCTTCGGAAGTTGAGAATTTTCAGAAGGACCTGACGGTGACTTCTGAACAAGCTGTTCTAGTAAACTCCACAAGAGGTTTACGGCCTTTCATAGCTCCTGGTCTCCAGCACTGCAGTAGAGGAAAGCTACGATGGAGTTTACACGCTCGTCGGTCTCTTGCAGATAACCATTCTCAGTGGTCCGTTGAGGGGACGCAGTACGTGTACGACTGCGACAGCCAGTAGAAGCAGGGCCATAACATACCACATGGTTGGGACACTCGGAGAGCACCAGGGCCGGTTCAATACCTGCGGGGAGATGTACCTTAAGGCTATGCGTGTGCTGTCTGACTGCAGGAGGAGGTAACTAAGCGGCATTGCTCACTACTAGTTGCAGTCGACCCTTCGCAAGTACTGTTGAAAGTGTCGCGAAAAGCATCCAGTCTTTTACCAGTGGGGCTTGACAGTGGCAGGCTCAAATCTAGAAGCTAGGACCATTCAAGATGAATACTACAGCATATAGAAAGCAGGTTGGAAGACTCAGCTCCAAGTAAATAGAACGAAGGGGATAAACTCGGCCACACTGTCACACACAAAGCCACACTGGGTCATTGGATTATAGCAGCCGGTAAACGCAATCTTGTTACCTCTGACAAGAAAAATGAACCACAGAACAGATGATTGGAGAAGAAAATAGGTGGGAAAAGAGGAGGATGTATCAATGTATTCATCAAGGCGAATAGACATGATCAATAATTAAATGTGATATTATTATTATCAGTGGAGCTGGAAGCTTGACTCTCTTGGCCAGTGGATCATCATCCTTCGCTTAAATGCTAGACTGCACAGTTATCAGGCAGTAAATAGTAATGCAATAGCCTAATGCAATATCATATCCTTCTGCTTATCAGTCTTATCTGATATGTCAATACAATGATAAATCAGCCGCTATATATATCCTCCCCAAGATCCACAGCCCCCAGACTCCCCGTTGCATATGCCATTGTGCCAGCGCTACCAGCACTGTATGCATATGCATATTGCTTCCGGCACTTCCGCGAGGACAAAACAGAATGCACATCTGGATGCTTTGACTCGAAGCATTTGAGTAAAGACGGCGTTCTTCTATCGAACCTTCTGACTTCAAGGGAGAACATGGAGAGCGATGTCTACCCCAGATTCTCTGAGTCTAAATGCAGTAAGGCACTGCAGCCAAGATCCAACGCTGAAGCCCTAAATGAATCTGTTAGTCACGGTGGTTGCGATGCTCTTGGCGCGGACATGCCCGCATCCATCCCTACATCATCCCTTGTACTTTGCATCGCGGGGTGCATCTGGCTGCAGCGTTTCCATCTAGCAACATCATTATTAACATCGCAATGGCCTTGGGATTGACTTTCAGCCCTTCCCGTCAACTCAAAGCTGGCCGAGGTCATTCTCAAATCGGCCGGGTCCGATGGCAGAGCCAGAACGAGCGCAGTGGAGAATCAACTACCATGGACTAACAAGCGGGGAACAGCCTTTCTATTGGATCGAGCGTCCCGAGAATCTGCTATACGCTTCTGGGCATTTTGACGGCTGCAATTTCTCTTACTCTTTCGAATGCAACGATTCGTGAGTTTGCGGCTGCTCTCTGAACCGTGCTGCAGGGTCACTCTAGTGCCGCTCAACTCTGGGGAAGAACCCCAGGATGGACCTGGGAGTCCCATCCTCCATCTGGGGAAATGCAGTAAAAAGTCAACCGGAGAGAAGTGAGGCACCGATGATCGGCCAGCTAACTGCTCCAAGCGAGGAAATTCTGGGGAATCCTGGTCCACTTGGTGTGTTGCCTCCCCCGGCGCCCGCCGATGACCGTACAAAATGGGAATCTGGTATATAAATGCAATTGACATTTCTGGCAATGAGTGACCCATCAGAGCGGGGGCGTTGAACGGCCTTTATATGACTGTTTGTGTTTCAGAAATCACCCGTTACTGAGATCGAGATATCGTGCGATACTTGCATATATCGCCCGAATAATCTGACCTGTTTGTCCGTTTGGAAACCTTTCTCATGCACCATTGAGAATGGCGCCCTATTTGGCCTCCGGGGCTCTGCCTTGAGCCGGGCCATCATCTGCCTGGTCGTGTGCCCGGCCTTTGTCACCTATGGATACAACCTGAGCGTGGCCGGTGGGCTGCTGACGCTCGAATCGTTCGTCGAGACCTTTCCCCAGATGGATACAATCAATACCACGGGGGCTCAGCAGCATTACAACTCCACCATTCAGGGTATGTCCCACTGCATCCAGGGTTGGAATAGTGCCTGACGATAACAGGAACCATCGTCGCCCTTTTCACCGTCGGGGGTATATTCGGCTCCCTATCATGCATTTACCTTGGCGACCGCCTGGGTCGCCGAAAGGTCATCCTCCTCGCATCCGGCGTGACGATCATCGGTGCAGTTCTTATGGCGACGGCATTCGACTTTGCTCAGTTCATCGTGGCACGGCTGGTGCTGGGTTTGGGGACGGGTGCATATCTGGCGACGGTGCCCGTGTGGCAGTCGGAGATCTCGAAGGCCAGCAAACGGGGGGCCCATGTGGTGACTGACGGCATCTTCATCGGCATTGGTGTCTCGCTGTCCCTCTGGATCGACTTTGGCTTCTACTTCATCACCGGCAACTCGGTCTCGTGGCGGTTCCCCCTCGCCTTCCAGATTGTCTTGCTGTTGATCGTCATGGCGTTCATCGTGATCTTTCCCGAATCGCCCCGGTGGCTGGTCAAAAAGGGCCGGATTCAGGAAGCCCGAGAAATTCTTGCCGCCCTGGCCGATGTGGAGCTGGACTCGGACTCGATCAGCGCGGACATTCGAGACATTGAGCTATCACTGTCCATCTGTGGCAATGGCTCGTTCAAGAACATGCTCACGATGGGCGAGCAGCGGCTGTTCCATCGCACCCTTCTCGCGGCCGGCGGGCAGATGTTCCAGCAGATGTGCGGGATCAACCTGATCAGCATGTACGCGACCACCATCTTCGAGCAGTACCTTGGCATGAGCGCGATCAACTCGCGCATCCTGGCGGGGGCCATGTGCTTGATGCAGCCACTGGGCGGGTTCCTGGCTTTCTTCACGATCGACCGGCTTGGCCGGCGGCCCCTGATGCTGTGGAGTGCGGCGGCCATGTCCATCTCCATGGCCATCCTGGCGGGGACCACCTCCGTGGCGGACAACACGGGCGCAACGGTCGTCGCCGTTGTCTTCCTGTTCGTCTTCCAGTTCATCTTCACCGTCGGCTACTCCGGCCTGACGTTCCTGTACGCGACCGAGGTCGCACCCTTGCAGCTGCGCGCGGCCATCAGCGCCGTCTCCACGGCCGCCGTGTGGACCTTCAACTTCCTCCTGGCCCAGGTGACGCCCGTCGGGTTCAACTCTATCGGGTACCAGTACTACATCATCTTCGCGGTGCTCAACGCGGCCATCGTGCCGACCGTCTACCTCTTCTTCCCTGAGACGAACGGCCGCACACTCGAGGAGATCGACGAGATCTTCATCCGGTCGAAGAGCATCTTCGACCCGCCCCGCGTGGCGCGCAGCCTGCCCCGGATGCATTTTGCCGAGGCGGTGGATGTCGCGACGGATTCCGGGGACGACAAACTGACCAAAGTCTGATTCTCCAGCTTTGTGACCCGCAGTCGCGGGTTGATTAATGTGATCCAAGATGTTCCCTGCCGAGTGTCGGACCAGCGGTCCGCTGGACAAATGCAGAGAGATCATCAGTACAGGAGGATATTAACCCCGTATCTGATTCGGTATATGGTACGCAGATCATCTGGGATGAGAATGATTTACTACTACTTGGGATTATTATCTGATGAAACCGACGCCGGCAGTCATGCACATTTAGCCGTTTCAGCATGAAACCCTCTTTGTATATAAGCGCAACAGACATCCACTCTTTATGCCAATTCAATCGATTACCTGAACACTTGACACTCGGTATCTAATGGAAAAGATGAAATCATTGTTGCTATTCCTCCCCCTCGTTCGCTGCGACGTGCTGTGGAGTGGCTTTTTCGACGCCAACTTCACCGTCGACCACTTTGACGAATGTACTCTCCCCTCCATCTCTCCTTCACATCTACTCCGTACCTTATACTCACGACTGCCAGGGTCCTGGTCCAACCAGATCCCCCCGTACCAATGGTACATCCACGGCTCGCAGCCCACATCCCACTACCTGGGTCTCTCGTCCAACTTCAAGAACCCCGCCGACAAGGCCGATGCCCAGGGCATCCGAATCACCATCGTACTCCCTCCCTCTATCATCCCCTTTCAATCCATATTTACTGATGGGACGAAGGACGGCACGTCCTCCTGGAACGGCCAACCAATGATGCGCAGCGAGCTCATCCCCCAAACGACCGCCAACATGGGCCAGGGCCACCTCTACTACCATTTCTCCCTTTCGACAAGCAAAACCAACGCCCCGAACCCCAGCTTCGAGCACCAGATCGCGTTCTTCGAGGTACAGTGCCCACCCCTCAGCTTTTGTTATTGTTTGTGATGAGCTGATGAAGATAGAGCCACTTCACCGAACTCAAGTACGGCCGGCTCAGCGGCGCCACGGGAGACGACAATACGCTGCGGTGGATGGTTAGCGGGCAGACGAAGTGGTCGACGCCGCTGGTGGCCGGGACATGGTACAACTTCGCGTACGACATTGACTTTGGGGCGGGGACGGTGGGGTTGTGGGCGTCGACGGGGTCGGAGGCGCTGGCGAAGGTGGTGGAGAACGTGGGCGCGAGCACGTCGACGAATTCGCAGGATTGGCATGTTGGGGAGCTGAGGCTGGATAATGGGGGGACGAGCGCTGCGGCGGAGGATTGGTTCTGGTCTGGGGTTTATGTGGAGAGTGGGAGTGTGACTACGGATGTGGCTGGGCCTGTTTGATTCATTGATAGATTGCATTGATGTATTGGATTGATATATTGCATTGATGTATTTGCCAAAAGAGGAACTCAACGAGTGCAGTACCCCCCGTCAATGAGCAGGTCGTTCCCGGTCATGTAGGAACTGGCATCGCTGCACAGATACACGTACGCGCCCTTGAGCTCCTTGGCGTCCCCGTTGCGTCCCATCGGGATCATACTCATCCACAGATCCTGGATCTTCTTGTCCACGAAATCCGACAGCCCGGTGTCGATATACCCCGGCGAAATACTGTTCACGCGCGCAAAATCGCGCCACTCGTTCGCCAGCGACCGGGCAAAGTGAATGCACCCGGCCTTGGCGACGTTGTAGCTCGTCTGCTCCTGCGGGTAGTTCGCAATATGGCCGGACATACTGCTCGTGATCACGAAGCTGCCCTTCCCGCGCTCCTTGAAGTGCGGGCCCACGGCCTTCGCGCAGTGAAACGTGCCCGTCAGATCCGTCTGGATGACCTCCGTCCAGTCCTTGACGGACCCGTCCAGGATCCCCGAGCTGGCCGTGCGCCCCGCATTCGCAATAAAGGCATCGATCTGCCCGAACTCGGCGATCACGTCCGAGACCAGCTTCTGCACGCTCTCCCAGTCGCCCACATTGCACTTGTAGGCCTTGGCCTTGACGCCGTAGGTTTTGGCGATCTCCGCCGCGTTCTTCTCGCCGCCTTCTGCGCGGGAGGAGTACGTCAGCGCGATGTTGGCGCCCATTTCGGCGCACCCGCGGGCGGCCTCGATGCCCATGCCGCGGGGGCCGGAGGCGCCGGTGACCACCACGGTGCGGCCCTTGAGGCTGAGGAGGTCGAGGAGGGAGGAGGCGGCGGGGACGGGGATAGGCATTTTGAAACTTGGTATGTGATTATGAATTTGAGTGGATATTCGGATGATTGTAAAGTACAAGATAATGCAGAGATGAGGGCGGGTTATATACCCCGGAATGAGCGGATCTCTCATGGTAGTGGCGTTGATGATGTCATGACGTGTCTACCAGGGTCCTGCGGAGAGGACCTTCGTAGCAAGCCGTCGCTTCGTATAAGCATCGCAAAGCCTCAGCAAAGCATCATGCGAGTCTTTCTAATGCACTCTCTGTTGTTTTGTGATGGATCTGATTGCTCTGTGACGGTGTTGCTAAGTCTTAGTCAGTCCTTCCTAAGCGCTTACTCCAGGTTGGCGTACTATGCAACTCACTATACCTCTCATAAGCATCGGGTAATCATTGTGATTCCCTCTCCAATTCGCTAGTATCTATGACATAAACTCAGCGTGTCTCTTACCAAGAGACCCAGCCTTGAATTGAGTTGGAGATTGGAGGTAGAGTTGGGGTCTTGGTAATGGAACAGTGGAACCTATGATGGAACTGGGTCGAGAACCACTTCAGCAAGGTCTGTTATTGTTTATACAACTCCAAAGTTTATAATAACATTAATGCATATATATGTCGTTCGTTTTATATTGTGTACTCATTACTAGAGGTTATGACCTAGATCAACTGGTTAGACTCTCCTCGCTCCCCCCCCGCTTCGTAGGATGGGTCCCTGTGATCGTAGTTGTGACGCCCTGATACTCCTCGTCCGCCATTCCCGTCCACAGTCGACGTGCGTCTTCACCCCCCTCATCGGGTTTCGACCGGCGCGTGAGCCCCTTGGGCATATTTCCGGATAGGGGATATGAACCTGGTTGTCGTTGATGACTTCGTGAGGCCGAAGAGCCGTCACGAAGGAAGCGAACCAGAGGACGTAGGGTGGTGAGCGAGCCTGCCGTGATGCCCAGTCCGGCTTCGACGTTACTCCAGATTGAGATCTGCTAAATTAGTTTGTGCTTGGTCGTTGTCGTAGAGTGATAGCTAGCTCACTTGGTAGGTTGCATAGAAAAAGTCGGGATCCTTGTAATTGTGAATAAACGGAATCCGAACAATTACGGCCGCGCTGGCGATGCATCCGATCCCCAAAATCCCTGCAATGGCCATTTTCGTCCGGGCATTCATCCGCAGGGACCAGATGATGAATACTGGCATTATTCCAATAGTGAAATCGGTGACGGCCGCACCCACACTGTATGTGTACGCAATGGCGATCAGGATATCCGTATCGATGCACTTCCCCTGCTCAGTAAATCGGTTCCAGAAGAAGTCTACCGGAGTGCATTCGAAGATGGTGAAGAAGAAGAAGAGAAGGCCCACAATCAGGGCCAGGGCCATGGCGGCGTAGAGGATGAGGATGTGTACTCGGTCAATGGTGATGCGCAGGAGGGAGACGATGATGGACATTTTGGCGACGACGCAGGTGATGACATAGAAGATTTGACCGAGCCACCAGCACTTGTACCGTTAGTATATGTGGCTGTGTAACAGGTCCTTTCCACCTAGGGTGAATCATACCAGGAGAGCTCGACGGTAATAGTCCTGGTGCAACTCAAAGTATTCCGTCTTCTGGCCCATCCCATAGGAGCAACCAATGAGAGTGCAAATGGCGAATGCTAGGTTGAGGGCCTTACTCGTCAGTGCGCTGCTGGACGTATTCAATTGAAGAGGAAACGACCTACCACGGCGGCGACCATCGTCCAGTCATCCAGCCCAAAGGCGCGCACCACGCGCGCACGAACGAAACATCGCAAGCCCACGGTGACCAGCGACAGGACCAGGAAGATGGAGGTGACGATAGCAATCGCCTCACTGCGACCGTTGAGCATGACGATGCCGAGACATGAGTGTCGGCCGGCTTGAAGAGGGTCGGGTCAGACAAGGCATGGACACAGAGTGCGGCCGATTCTTTAATATAAGGAGGATCAGTAGATAATCGGCAGGAAAGGTGACGAATGCTGAAGGTTGTGGAGATGGGATGGCTTGCAGGCCGCAGAGGGCGTATAGGAGAAAATTCTATTCTGATTAGCGGGAGTTTATTGCAAGTCGTGCCACGGATGCCAGCCGTCAGTTGCTCGTTCCCTGACTCCAGCGGCCCAGACTCTTTGCAGTGTTATGGTGGTACGGATAGTGAGCATCAATTGACACTATTTGGATCGCCGCGGAATAGAGCTTGATAGGGCTGCTGTTTTGAATGCCATCGATTCTAAGAGGATTGGGATCTGGCTAGTCAACAGTCATTAGCAGTGATCAATAGCGCCGAGTCAACGCAAGAGTCAGACTCACCGTCAGTCCATCACTGTGGCATAAACCAGACTAGCAAACGGACCATGTGGGATCTTCACATCCCTCATGTGGTTCATTTCCCAGTCGGTATATTGTAGATCGTGTCATCGCATGCCAGCCACGAATAATTGAGTTTCTGGTGGGGTTTGATATGCAAGAATCTAAGCGAGCTCTGCCCAAGTCCACAGATACTAGACCGAAACAGCGATAGATGCGAGGACTCAGACTTGACCAACGGTTCATCTGCGGTTGTCGATTGGTCTGTGTAGAAAGGGGCGTCGAGAGCCGCAGGACGTGATGCTCTCCTGGGGAAAACATCCGGACCTAACAAAAGTTAAACGCCATCAGGATAGACATTTCCAATTTATTACTTAATAATAGATACTTGGATGGAGGATAATCATCCAGGTCTTCCATTAGTTTCGTCAATTTCTTTCGTAATAGTAATCCCGGTTTATTTCGATCTGCTGCCACCGTGCGCTTCATCGGGATCTAAGACAATTGGGCATTTGGGCTATCATAATCGAGGACAAAGGAGTGAAACTAAGGCATTATTGAATGATATTCAGCATTCCAACCGTGTGGTCGCTGTTATTCCTGAAGGATTCAACCTTAAATCAGTGTTGGTCAGTTGGTCTTCTGTTGATCTGATCGTCAGGAGACAGGGTATCTAAGCAACCATGAGTATTTGGATTGATGTCAACTATTGAATTCAGGTTTGAACTTTGACCCAAGCAAATACTGTCATGAGTCCTCTATTGAACTTGGAGAACAGAACTGATGCTGATACCTGGTCTGACTTCGGCCTCAGACAAGATATCAGAATGGCCGCGGATAGAGATCAACCTCGGTTCTCTGGGTTGGAGATGGAGATAAAAGCGTCAGACTGACTATCTAGTGTTGATTCAATAGCAGCTAGCTAATATTGTATACACCATTGAACTCTGCATTAAATCAATAATAGCAACTATTTCCACCAACATGCCCGGCCTCACTCTGCATCTCCTTGCTCTCGCTCCCTCCACCACCGCCGAGTCTTTCCTCCACCAGCTCCGTCAATCCTCCGCCGTCGAGGTCATTCTGGCCTCTCGTCCGCGACACATCGTCATTCCTCCCACCCTCATTGACTCCAACCCGCTGACGACCACAAAATGGGACCTTTTGGTTCTCCTTCAGCCGTCCTCGGCGACCAAAGAAGCAGCCCTTGAATCACTTCCGCCTAATCTACAGCCCCTCGTGCGACACGAGTATCGTCTTGCGGTCGGCATCCCCTCAAAGCTGCTATCCAACTACGATGACCGCGACAGATCCCTCAAACGAACTGCCTCCTCCGTCCCTCTCACCGGCTCCCTGACCAATGCCCGCCAGAAGTCTTCCTCTAAGAATCGGAACTCTCGCCCGACCTACTCGCCTTCATGGACACCCTGACGCGGACACACGATGGTCCGGTCACCATGCTGAATCTGCTGCATTTCCACCACCCTAACGGGAAGAAGAGCTACTACCAATACGGACAGGCTTTTATCCCTGTCGCCGGTAAGCGCGGCGGGAATGCAAAGCTCGTAGGGAATGTGGTCAGACCCGCTTCGAGCGCCCAGGTAGACTCGCGGGGAAGCGTGCATCGACCAGAGGCAGACTGGTGGAACGAAATCTCGCTGGTGCATTACCCGTCCATCAGGCATTTCTGCGATATGCTGGCTGGAGAGGACTACCAGGCGATCAATGAGAAGTATCGCTTGTCTGTGCGTTGCGCTTTTTCCTCTAGTGATCTGAATCAGGCTAATGCCCATCCAGGCTCTTCGAGATACGTTCTTGCTTTGCACAACCGAGTTCGACGTGGAGTCTTCACCTGCCAAGCTATGATTTATCTTTTCTGTCGGCTCGGTGTATATATCATGTCAGACTACAGACAACAATTTGATCACCGTTTTTCAATTGTCCACAGTTGTCCCCTCTATGCATTATTGGCGCAGGAGAAACTACCACCAGCTGGCTCTTCGCTGATTGCTCGGCCAGACACATACAGTCCAAGGCCACACTGACCCATCAGTACGAGATACGAGAAGATGGAGATGACTTACCAGACATCCTCCCATGCCAAGCAGGGTGAAATTGACAATGGTCAAGAATATTTCCCTCGGCGACGAGAACCAACGCCTCTGATTGATGAAGAGCCAGAAGACACCACATAGTCCATCTACGTAATTAGTGAGACACATCCTCTCAGAAGGGCACACGCACATGAGAACCAACTGCCGAACAGTGACGTCTGTAGTAATGTTAGACCTGCAATCACTCAGGCTCAGACAACTTACAATCAGGCTCAGCAGGTTATTAAACACAGGAACTGCTTCTGCAATGACCCAGGCACTCGTCCACAGCACCAACGAGATTGCCACCCAAGTCCCTATTATCGAGAAGAGACTGCGCCGGTGCATATGCTCGGTACCCCGGAACAGACGTACATGAATGTACTTGCAGGCGATGTGACCATTAATCACCCCGGCGATCACAATCTGCGAGGTCAGTATTGCCACTAGACCAACGACCTTCGCCATTAAAGGGCCGCCTGAGCCCAATGCCGGTGACGCAACGTCCTGGCCAGCAGACCGGTAGATGACCACCCCGGTGACGGTGTACAAGGTCGTGCTGATGAGTTGAACAGTACACAATGTCTTCGGCCAGTCTGTGGGGGTTTTCATCTCGGAAATGAAGCCAAAGAAGGCCGGATGAGCGGCTGCCGTTGGTTGGTGAATGGATCCAGCTGCAGTCAATCAATAGAGGCTTACCATAAGCGAACATGATATCCGTGACTGCCAGAAACGCTCTATACAGACTAGTCGAGACAGTCACCTCAACCTTTGCATTCCCTGGTCGCTGGACACCAACCGTGATCATCGTGACCAGGACTGCCGCAACGATACTGACAAACGCTGCGATCAGCACCAGCTCTCTTCACTCCTCTTAAGATAAATCTCACAAGCAATCGACAACCATGACATCCTCTTAAGCGTCCTCGGCAAGGTCAACACAAGCGAAAGCACCAAACACAATACTGCACGCTCCATAGTCCGTCAGTGTGTTCATCATGACCGTAAAAGTGAGAATGTGCCCTCCCATCACAAACACCAGGAAGAGCAGCAGCCCCGTCCCCAGGACCTCGCGCCCGATACGGCCAAAGAGGACCTGGCGATAGACCCTTGCATCTACATGATCCGGCCGCGATTCGGAAGCATCCTGGTGTGATCGATCCAGGCAGACTGTTCATTTTATTCCTTGCTTACAATCAGATCTAGACTGAAGTCATATTTGAAAGAGATTATCATGGCACGCCTTGTATTATTTTGCAAGAAGGGTAAAGCTGTCTATCATCTATGTCTATCTTTGGTATTCGCAAACAGTCCGACATTCAAAAGCCAGGGTATCATCAAGTCACAATTCATATCAGTCATTTCATAGTCTCCGGGCACAAACGGTCCCGGATGAACAAGTCCACCCCGGCCAGCTCACAAGCTCGGCGCAAGGGTCCCACCGTCTCATAAATCCGCGGCTTGATGACCTTGTCACCAGTCGGGGAACCCTCGTATCCAGAGTCCTCGTATTCCTCCTCATCGTGGAACATTCCCTCGATCTGCAGCTTTTTCAAGCCCTTGAAGCGATGTGACTGTCCACTTTTACCGTCGGTAACGCCACTGCGGTTGGCGCTACCAAGCAGCGTCCCCAACTGCTTCACCAACATCGCCAGCGAATTCTCCTTGCATCCTTCTACATACAACGACTCCACTCCAGTCGGCAAGACCTCCGTCAGAGGGACCGACGGCTCGGCCTGGTACCGGATATCCAAAAGATTGGGCAAACGGATCCGGATGTCCTTCAGGTTCGTGAAATCGGCCAGCGACCCGAACCACTCGTCGTGCGTCTCGTTAGCACCAGCAATGGTGAATGGGAGATGGACACCGCAGCTGTCAAGCCAGAGAGTGCGCAAGGTGTGTTTGCTAGCGGACAGCGAGCGGTAGAAGGCAGCAGGCTGGTAGCCTTCAGCGAGCAGATGGCCGTCTGAGTGCTGGTATTTGAAAGACCGAAGGGCGGAGCAAGCGGCAACAATGCTCATCATGCCCTTGGCGCCGCTGCTGGAATTCAAGACAATTTCAGATACCGACGAGGCCGGCGATGGCTCGATTCGCGACTGCGTCTGTGTCTGCTGCTCATCCGCGGAGGTCGATTCAATGACTGAATCGGCTGTGATGGCGCGCATTGATGGTAGCTGGAAGAACGGGAGGACCTGCGATGGGAGGTAGGTGCCCTTGCTGTCAAGTGAGTCGTCCAGATGACCCAGGGAAACTTGTCGCAGAGCACGGAAGGCGGGCTGGGTGTTGAAAGGCTTCTCTCCCTGAACCGCCCGCTGCATCATGCGGTCTAGATACCTGTTCTCCTTGGGATATAACAACCGCAACTGCTGTACGTTGCTCACCAGCGGCAGGAGAAGGGCGATCCAGGCCTCTTCGATATCTTGCTGCAAATCCCGCTCCCACTGGACGTATTCCTCGTCTGAGTGACTGACTTCCCGGGTCCAATTGCGAAACACTTCCATGTCCTCTTCAGCTATGCTGGTGCTTTCGTAGGACCCAGATTTGGTTTGCCACCCACTCAAATCCAAAGTGCGAACCGCCCGAGCCAGCTCGGGGTGTCGCAAAGTGGCACTCAAAAACGAGCGCGTCTGGCTGCAATCCTTCAGCGCAGCATATCGGTAGACGAGTCGGCGAAACAGATCATGAAAATGATGGCACACAAAAAGGAGATTGAAGCGGTCTTGATGATCCTCCAGGAACTCCCCAACTAGTAGTAGGACATCATTAGAGAGGGAGGGTGGCATGTTGCGAGTTTCACCGGTGATGAAAATATTTCGTTCAAACGACACTGGAAAGACACCCTCATCTTTAAATGCTACGCCATTCATCGAGGAAAATTCCTTCACTGACGACAGAAATTTAATCAGCCTTGCCCTGGAATTACCAAATTGGGAAATAACCTTCATCCGCGTCCACGGAAGGAGCAGATCTCCGCTGATCAATTCACCAATGGGAATAAAGCAGCGGGCATGTGGGCGGGACTCGGCGGAACTTTTCTCCACTTTTTCTGGAAAAATCAAAAGAGGAAAATCTCCATGTCGTGATTATTATTATTATCAGCTATGAATTGTCAATTGATGAGAGTGGAGTGCTGTGGATCATTCTGTATGCTATTACTACTCTCTTTTCGCCATCCGCGATATCCTTGGTTATTATGAACTGTGAGGAACGCAACACAAGACTGATTTTCTCAATATTGTAAAGCAGGTCGCTTCGGGAGCTTCTCTGCTTGTCTGTCAAAGTATTGGAGTTGCCTTTCTCTTGAATATCAGAGCGGATAAGTCTCACAGCGTACCTGCATTGAAAGCAGTTACCGCTCTTCGCAGAAGCAAAGCGATATACTCTGTGCTTCATCACAATGCATTCTAGTTAATTTAGCTGATACCTTGCAACCACTTCGAATACAACGTGCCCTTTATTCCAATTTCACATTAGTATGGAGTATTTAGTACGGACAGTCGAGAAAAAGGTCCTCGGCAGGCCTGCTTCTTTGGGATGTGGATCTTCTGCAGACCGCCGCACTTATTCTTAGCACGACAGCTGGGCTGATGTGGCGATCACTCTAGATCTTCATCTGCCTTGGGTAGAAAGTGTAGGAACTACCAGAGGTATGATGGAATATGCTTTCCACCAACCAGATCATGGCAGCTGGTCATTCAACGGGAGCCGAAAGAGGTTCTCTCCAAGACTGGCATTGCTCGTTGGCGTAGATGCAAATTCAACAATTTACAGTGTAGTCACAGAATGATGACAACTATGCTAAGAAGCAGCTAGGAAACCGCTCCAGCCAATCATAACTTTGAAGTGGCTGTCTGGAAATCGATATCCGTGATCGACAGAGCAAATCTAGAACTTGGCGATTATTGGTCAATCAGCGTTTCCTCGAATTTTTATTATTATGCTGTCCAGTGGAAGAGGGATATGGGACAGGTGCTACAAGGAGTGCTTTGAAGACTATGTACAGCACTCATCCCGCCGGCAAAAGCACGAAGACCGAATCGGCACATCTGCTGTCGCTGCAGCGAGTTTTAATTGCTGCTGGATGATCCTTGCCTCTGTCGAACGTCCCAGCTTCGTCAAACACTCATGATACCCATGTAACGACCACACGTTGTTCGGATGCTGCAGGGCCCGCGGCAAAGTATCGTCCATCCCCAGATCAGCACTGTACACTGCTGCGGCCTTCTCTACTTGTCCCTGCTCGAGCAAGAGAGCGCCATAGGCATGCCGGGTTGGCTGCATCCAGCCCCATGGCTCGTCATAGGGAAGGCCATCATCCAGGGCGATGGACCGTTGCAGGTGACTGAAGGCAGCGTCGATGTTTCCGCGGCGGTATTCGATCTCCCCATCGAGCATGGCATCCGCGATGGCCAGTATATCAAGACATTTGTTATTGAACAGCATCCGGCTGGGAGGGACACGGTCGAGAGTCTTGAGGAATCTTGCCCGCTCCTTGTCCGCTTCGTCTACTTGTCCGAGAGCAGCATATGCTACGCCTTTGGCGTAGTAAACCATTGCCGTAGTCACGCAGTAGAGATCCTGGTCCTGTGGCAGTTCCAGAGCAAGGATATCCTCCCAGCGCCCGAATCGGATAAGCACGTGCACTTTCACCGCGAGGAAGCCCTCGAGCCAGTCAGCCATCGGGGGCGACTCGATTCGTAAGAGTTCTTCGGGAATTGAGGCCTCCAGCTCCGCTGCCGTGTCCAAGGCCACCCTCGACTGTCCGGCGAACATGGCCGCGTAGATTCGGAAATGATAATCATGAGACCGATAGAGGGTATAAAAGTTGACGGGACCTGCACGAGCGAGGAACTTCTCGTCCGCCCGGATAGCTTCTGAGTTGGAGGCAACTGCTCGACGATAATCGCCACAGAGAATGTCCAAATGCGTAGGCATATGGTTCAAATGCCCTGCGTCAGGTACGAGACCCCGCAGGTGGTCGGCGGCCGTCAATGCGGTCTCCGGGGATCCTGACATCTCCATCAAGTGGATATACAAATGCAGCAGACCTGGATGCGAGAGTCCTCCCTTCTGTGCCAGCGCACGGTCGAGGACAGTTTTTATGTCTAAAGTACGTGCGTTAGGCGCAGGTTGCCCAGTCTTTATATCCCAGAGCGCCCACGGCGTAAGGTTCATCAAGGCATCTGCATACAGCACCGCGACGTCTAGGTCATCTGGGTGCTGTTTATATACCACTTCCATGGCATCTGCGTAGCCCTGGTTCCAGGATGAGCAGTCCCCTGCCGGCCGGTCATGCGGGTACCGATACTGCAGGGCAGCAATCAGAGCCGCCTCGACCGGTGACGCTGTTTTTGCATTGGCCTTCGCATCTTCTGCAGCCCTGCGAGTGCGCTGGACTGTCGATTCGAGCTCCTGCTGATCGAAGAACTGCCATGGTTTGTTGTAGTTCGGACCAAGGGCGTAAGCGAGGCCCCAGTAAGACATGGCACACTTGTGGTCAATTGTGATGGATTTCTGGAAACAATGGACTGCTTCTTCATGGTTGAAGGCGTATGTCCAGATGAGGCCGCGATCGAACCATCGCTGAGCCTGATGATTGACGGTGCTCACGCGTCGGTGAAATGATCCGAGGTTATAGTAGGGCTCCGTAGAGGCATCTGATGATCGTTCATGTTGTTTGCTCATCATGATTGGGTGTGGCTTTAAATACCCTTTACCATACAGATTTAGAAGGATTTTTTCCTTGATGAAGACATTCTCCAAGAGAAGGTGTCGATAAACGAGTTCGTGATGAAGTGGGGTAACTCGAGCGGGATAAACATCTCATGATCCAAGTGGTATAAACCAGCATCAACTCAACTTCCTGGCTGCTCTCGATATGCGTTCATCATGGCATAGATTCTGACAGAATAGTTTCGAAGGCTCGTTCTTGCTGTCCATGCCAATAGTTTGAGCATGTCATGATGCAGTTCGACTGTGTGGATTTTCCATGAGTCGTCAAGAAATCCCTCCGACACGCTGCGAATGATTGCGCCGTTAGACACCCTGATAATACAGAAAGTATACGCCGATGTCGAGGAGACATGCTATGACCATCGGTGAGGTTCCACTTTCAAAGCTCGTGATGCACTGAAGGAAGTGTTGCCGTACTCCAGCCGGCAGCGGCAACAAGAGAACCTGTTCGTACAAATCAAGAACCCATCCCATGGCGTGTGTCGCTGCCTAAGGAGGTCAGGAGTAAAGGATCAATTCCAGCACTCAGACAGGTATTGCGAATAATCTTGTCGGTAGTCCTAGCTTTGCTTGCACCACTTCCATCCCTATCAAAGGTGCGGACATTGATAGCCACGCCAATTTGACAAAACTGGATGAAAATGGATGTCAAACCCTGCAATCCTTGTAACGTATATCTATACCAATGTTCATTGATGAATGTTTCGTAAAGTAGACAACCAAAGACAGCTCAGTGTAGACATTGGAAGATGTGAGAGGCAAACTGCGACAATCCTGTTACTCTGGGTGACAAGCACCAGGTCTTTTGGCGCCGTGCATACGGAGTCTTTAGGCCATTTCGGATTCCTCCTCTGGTATGAGATGCTTGTAGATTTGTCGACGAACGACCGATGGAAGGTGCGAGATAGTTGGTGGAGGCACTCGATGATCCGAGTCAATAGACATAGTTGAAAGGAATAGGTTGTGTTACGCATCTCAAAAGTACTCAGGAAACCTAACCTTGGTTATGGACAATTGGAAGCTCGGGTCGAGATGAGTCAAGTCATTTTCACTCGGTGTTGGTCGGGTGCACGTTGTTGCGTTGGTTAAGTATCAACTGTGGACACATCACCACCGTCTATCACTTTCAGCCCGAATAGCCAGCCCGATCCGCAGCTACAACGCCGTTGGCATCATGGGCTTTCAATCATGAAGTGAATTTATCATCCGTCCATCACTTACAATCGAAAGTGCAGCTGAAACATATCAGAGAGATGTCCAAGAGGCTTCGCATTATCCGTACGATGATATGGTGGCATTACCATACATAAGAGAAGGAAAAGACAAGAGCAAGCCAATGTCTAATATATCACACGTTAGGTCTCTCTCGTTCTCCGCAGCCTAAACTGCAAATCACATTCAAAAGCCGTGGTGAAAACGCCTTGTACCAGAGAACACAGAGAACAAACAAGAGACCGAGGCTTGCCGTAGACCTGGTAATCGAATGGTGTATAGCCCTTCCTCGTTTCTGCGACATTTGCCTCGTATCAGGAGCGATTCCGTCGGTATAGGTATCCTCGTCCTCAGTCGGAATTCCATAAATGACGCCCAGTTGACACCTTCTCTTCTCTATCGCAGTCCCAGATCCGTCATCTCAACACTGTCTGCCGATCCCATCCAGAGAATGTTGTTACACCTAGTTGGTGTCAGTCAGGACATGTCAGGAAAGATCCCGAGCGCTTTAAGCAGCCAGACAATCCGAAACGTACCGAATCAGCACAAGACCAAGTGTACCCGTGTTCTTTCCATCGATGAATTCCTCCGTATCCCTCAGGAGGACGTTCATGTACGAATCGATGCTTTCCAACTTGCCCTTGTACTCTGTCTGGCCCCACTTGAGACGGATGATGAGCTCGGTGCCGACCCTAAAATGCTGTATTAGAAAATGATGGTTTCATTCATTCGTTCTGGATAGAGAAAAAAGACGCAATCGGACGGGAACTGGGTAAGTTGAGTAGGCGTACCGAGCTTGCAGAAAGGGCCGGGGGTTAACTGGTTGAAACTGCAGTATGCGACAGCACATAGTCAACAAGTGGAATCCAGAAATTTGGAGCAAATGTAGGAGGAACGAACACTCATCGTTGTGATGTGAAGCGCCTTGTGATTGATTCACCAGGAATCCGAGGATGTACGACACAGGGAGGTCCTCAAAAGGGTACAGTATGTATAATGTGTAATGAGTCTTAGTCGATCAGCTGAAAGAGCGGATTTCCGAATTGAAGAAAGTGCTGCACTGGTCGCGTGTTGAATTGAAGTGGTCAGAGCTACCACCGCATACGCCCATTCGAGGTTCCCAGACCGCGAAAATGTGATGCTGCTGGAGGCTGCTCTCAGCCAATCAAACGGCGAGCTGCGTCACCGCCTTAAGAACATCTTTTGAACAAAACAGAAGCAGACAAATGAAAGGAAAAAAAAAAAAAAAAAAACAAGCTGATTACCTTCAGCCGAATTGATTTTGATATAGTCGGTGCATTATCCTCATTAGATCGAATCCTCGAATGGATTTTTCCGAGAATAATGTGTCCGTCGCAGTCATTCACACAAGAAACGCATTTGACGACGCAACAAACATAGAGTAGAAAGGCAAAAACGAGCTGAAGACACTGACTTAGAATGCTACAGAAAGAATGCCCTCAGTCGTAAAGTCGTTGGCTCAACACTTCAACCTCTTCCCACCTCCCAGCTGATTTCCTTGATGGAAACCTCCTCACCGGCTTTCTCGTCATAATCATACCATTCACCCTCGGACAGATCTATACCAGTAAAAGGCGTGGATGATTCAATGCCCTTTGCCTCCCACTCTCCCTGCGCATGCATTGTCAGAAGTCTGGCCCGGCTCTGAAAATGATGATAAACTTACATCAGGCTTGAACTCCGTGAACTCCAGTCCACGGCAGTCGATCTCGATTACTTTGCGGCCCTTGCGCTTTTCATCCCCCTCATAGGTATGCGGACCGTTGACGATCGAAGCGGAATGGGTTTTCTGTTTTCAAAAGTGGTTAGCTGAACAGCCTTGTCGAAAGATTGTCTACATTCCATATCTCATTATCTCCTTGGGTCTCGCACAACCGACCGCAAGAACAAAGGAGACGGCTCGAAAAAGGCGGGCCGAGCACATGATTGCTAGGAAGAGACCAACCTGGCAAAGCTTGCATTTCCACACAAAGTTGGCCTCGCCCCGACTTCCAGGAATCTCATGTTGCTCCTGCATCAGTAGCTGTTAGTACAGTGCACACAACTGCTTTGTTTGTAACCGAGGAGAAGAGGCGTGTCAGGCGTTATGCAAACTTACAAAGCGATTAAAGCTGACCCAGTTCGGATGCACCTCGCGGCAAGAAGTGCATTGTACCTTGAAGGTGTAGAAGTATGGCTCTTCCTCCGTGTCCTTGGGCCGAAGGTCGGTGACCCTAGACTCAGTGATGAGCTACTGTCATGATTGAGGCGTGCGGGGGAACTGATATAGGCAGAGGGAGGCAAATTGAGGGAAGTATGAAGGTTTATAACCTGTTTGTGTTATCTTACCCTGTAAGCTCAGCAGAGAGGAGAAGTGAAAGCATTTTGGTCTGATTTTGACTCTGATCAGCCTCTTCTAAAAGAAGCAAGAAAGAAACGCGAAGGCAGAAGAAGTCTTAGGTGGGTTTGTTCTGTGCGGGGTGATTGGTGAGGGTGATGTAGTTCCAGAAATTCTATCGTCTTCGGTCCACTACTGATAATATCGACCACCTACATGCATCCACTGCAGAAATTCTCACCTCTTAACTTGAAAGCTTTATTTTGGCTATCTTCTATTGAAAAGTGAAAAGAAAAGTGTATTGCATGGATATCAACGCCAGTAATGCAAGCTCGTTATCGCTCGCCCAGAACGAATCACGAGACCGAAAGGAAACGACAATGGACACATCAAAATTCAATATACACAGTCATTGCAACCAATAAACTTCTCACAGATGGCATTGCTGGTCCTGGCCAAGAGGTTTTGTGGAGAAAGAGTTGAAGTAGGCGTTGAGAGCATCAACAGTGCCGCTGCCCTCCACCAATTGCACAGTGCAGGCAACGTGGCTGTCGGGACGAGTGACAACAACACCACCCTTCCCGGGGTCGAAGCCAAGCTTCTCATGGGCAGCAAACTTGGCGAGAGGCACCCGCACGTCGGGAATGTCATCGGCGTAGATGTGGTGGTGGTAATCGCGGAGGACCTGAGGGATGGCCTCCACATCAACCTCGTTCTTCTGGGCAGCGTAGATCAGGCAGATAGAGAACAGCTTGGAGTGAGGCAGATGGCGCTCAAAGAAAGAGATCTCATCGATGCGGCGGTAGGAAGACAGGAATGACCGCTCCTTTTCAAGGTTGGCACCAAAGTCCGTGATCGCCTTCTTGGTGTTTGCCTGTTTGCCGGCAAAGACGAAGATGCGGAATGCTCCGTTTGCAGGAATTTCCTGCTCGAGGTGCACAAAGTTGGCATCCGCCAAACGGGTCACAGTGGTGGGAGTGAAGGCACGGCCAGGAGTCAGCTTAACGCCAGGGATGTTGAACAGAGGCGACTGAGCGGGATGGCTTGGATCCCAGTTGAAAACGTTGGGCTTGTAAGCCACGCCGTATCCAGAGGTGAATTCGCAGGAAGACTTGAAGGTCTTGACAAACTCATCCTCCTCACCACCAGCGACGGCCTGGGTGTGGCTTGCAGATCCAACCTCACCGGCGGTTGGGCGACGCTTGGAGAAGAGGGCGGCATACTTGTTGTCGAAGTTCAGCAGGGTCTCAGCAATGTCCTTGCGCTCGCTTTCGTAGGTGCTCAAAATGGAACGGTCGGCCAATCCAGATTCGACGGCATGGAGCTTCCAGGCCATGTTTAGTGCATCGTGAAACGCTGTGTTCATACCCTGACCAGCCTTAGGGCTGTGGGTGTGGCAGGCATCGCCTCCCATGAAGATACGCTCGTCCAGTGTATATTTCTCGGAGATGCCCTGACCGATGGGGTAAACAGAGTACCACTCGACGCGGTCCCACTCCAAAGTGTATGGCTTGAGAATCTTCTTTGCCGTCTCCTGAACTTCCTCGGCAGTGGCGGTCTTTCTTGGGTTGAAGTCGGGATCCGAGGAAGAGGCGATCTGGACATAGAGACGGACCATGTTGTCCTCACGGGGGATTACCATGATAGATCCGGCATCTGAGTGGATGGTGCACTTGGTCTATTATAAAAACGAATTAATAAATCAGGCCATTTTCCTGCTATTGGGTGAACGGGCTATCCTTACCTCAATGTCAGGGAAGTTCGTTCTCACAACACCGTCCATGACACCCCACACATAAGAGATGGGATCCTTGTGGTGGATCTTGATGCCGAGCTGCTCTCTGACAAAACTGCGAGCGCCCTCACCACTGAAGAGGTACTTGGTGCGAACAGTCTCGATGACGTTTGTATCAATGCTCTTGAGCGACACTTCGACGGGATAGGTCTTGTCCGCGCCATCGTTCTTGAATCCGATGATAGTCCAGGGTCTCTCAATTCTTGTGCCAGCCTTCTCGATCTCGTCAATGAAGACTCTCTCGATCTTGCCCTGGTGGACGAGGGTAGTGAAAGGGTATCTTGTGTCAATGAATCGAGGGCAGCTGGGCCAGCTTCCGGTGCGGTGGATACCCTTGCCTTCGGGAAGAGGATCCCAGAAAGCGACATCGTACACCTTAGCTGGCTTGTAAGCCATAATCTGACGCTTCAGACCCAGGTTCCGGAGAATCTCAGTTGAGCGAGGCTGAATACCATCGGCGCGGCCAGTTGCAGTAGGCACCGGGCGGTTGTCGATGTGCTTCACTTTGTAGCCCCAGCGGGACATGCAGAGAGACAGCAGGATACCAACAGGGCCGGCGCCCACGATGACAATGTCATATTTCTCTTGGCTGTGTGTCATCTTGGTCGATTGATGTTAATATCCTTTCGCGGGGAAGAGGAAGATCGGCAGGGTCCGCGAATGACGAAATCAAGCAATGGGTATGTATATAGACAACAATCAACACCACAGCATCACCCGTATAAAAGTAATCTTGGATCTAAGGAGAGGAGATAGAAAAGACACAGAGAAGTAAAATAAGCCATTTCCAACAGGGTAGGCGGCGCTCATATATAATTCGAGGCAGCTGGGGTAGCGGGCCGGTTGAGCTGTGATTCAGGCATGCAACGGAGGGCCACAACGGCATTCAGATTCGGCTGGATCGTGGAGAGCAAGCCAGGGATGTGGCTCTTAAGCAACCCTAAGCTGCAACGCACAGGCAGGTTTGGTTCAGCAGTAGAGAGACTCGCTGTAATTGGAGATTGCGGGACGTGCGGGCGTGGGATGGGAGCTGGGTCTGCGGGGAGGCCGTGAGACTGGTGACTAATGGAGGAATGCCGTTGTCCATTCCGGGCCTCTGGAGCTGGCAGCGGCTAGCAGGTCGGCAAGTGGAGAGACCCACGTGACTCGCACGCTCGGCAGCATCGCCGGGACTTTTGGGCGGATCTTTCCATTAGCTACGACGTATGAGTTGCTCGGGCTTTGAAGAATAAAATCTACACCTTATCAGCTGATCTCGAATCAGATTGGCTTCTTCAATATCTGTTGGCCCTAGTGCTCAGGAGGATTTCCGGTGTCCAAAGTTAACTCGATACCTACTATACTACCAACTTGAACCTTAGCATATGGTATATCATACCTAGGGTTTGAGTAACCACAAGAATAGTATACTTTTCAAATCATTCCATAGCGCTCAGCAGCCATTCGATGCAAACTTCAAAATGTACTTTATTGCTTACAGGATTGCCGAACGATACTGGTGGTTCCTACTGAGCCGCTTGATCCGAATTTAGATTCTGCCTGAGGCAACAGCATGGCAACCTCGGGTTTTCCGACCTTCACATCCGCCTCATTGAGCACCTTTGCTCCCTTGTACTATTCCTCGTAGATTGACGTCAGTTGTGACAATGACAATTGGATCATCGATTCCCGTTCGATGCATCCCATGATATGGCAGGCTCGTCGATCCAATGCACAAGTCTACGTTAACCTTGAGTTCAATTGCGTCTGATTCCAAGATGCCGCTCTATGCGAACCGGCAAATTTCCCGGACGTGCTTGAGATACCGTCTCGATTACCATAAAACTAGATCGATCAAACACGGACACACGAACTGATATTCACATTCGATCCCCTCAACTCCATTGGTCATCCCTCGTTTGTGGGGAACGAGTCTGAAGACTGCCCATCCCCCTTCGAGGTGCCGTATGGTGTACTAACATACATTTAGCGGCTCTCTAGCCGTGTTTTCTGGTCATGTCACTTCCCCAGGCACTGGGATTCGGCTTCCCGGGGTATTTTGCGCTTTTTGGCGCATGGAGCTTAGCTTGCTGGAGATTCGCGGCTAATCCAGTGGCAGTTGCTGGATCCGTAACATCCTCCTTGTCTGTTGTCGCATTCTGGGGTCTCCCTTCATCGGGAGATTCGTATACTTGCTCGCAACAATATATACACATCTAGGTTGTGTAGTGAATAGTCATGATCACAGCTCACTTCGGACTCACTTTTCCCAAAAGAACTCCAGACGCCATCCTGCTACTTTAGGGTGTTTACAAGATCACAAATCACAAGACAAGTAGAGATTTTGCGACTCAAGGCCTATAATCATTAGTGTGTGTTGGGTCTATAGTAAGCATCATTTGGTAATAGTGTGCTCGTTGGTGAGAACCCAGCAGTTACTCAACAGTGATCCCATGGGTGCAGCTGAAGAAGCACAGTCTGCCATTTCTATGCCACCCAGTCAGCGTCCCTTGATCTACACAATGAAATATCAAGTGACAGCTCATTTACTACATTAGAGACATTATAGACTGTAAAGAAAATACTATGTGTGGGCATCAGAGCGAAGATGTCGAGCATCAACAACTTCAACATACATGTCTCCTCCACAGCTCCCATGGTTCATCTCTACTCAAAGGCAAAGGGTCAGGATGGCTTTGTCTCCTATACTAGCTCTACATCATGGTACCTAAATACTTCAGATCAGTTAGCTAATATCCATAGATACTGGAATAAGTAGTCAGGAGTCATCTCTCGCCTCGTGGCACCATCTTGGATCTTCGGGATATCGCGCACTACGATTTTCTCTACGTCCCTCAATGACTACCTAGTCACGATCCTGTTCTGACAATAAGTGAGAAAAAATGAGCATCCACTAGTCCATGCGACCGGGTAATATTCTGAGCGTATGGTCTTTTCTGTGATGTGTTCCTGTTGATTGATGAGCCCTGAGCGCTGAATGTCCAGCCAAACTGGGACAATAGAATTGTCCTATTGCTGAGAGAAATTGTTGAATATGAACGGAGAAAAAAAAGAGAAAGAAAAATTCAACAATCAAATTATAAGCTTACTCCGAATAAGCATTCCCTAAGGCTATTTAGGCAATGGACAAATGCTATTGTTGCGAGTCCACTCTCATTCACCTCAGAATTTCCAGAATAGGGCACCAGCAAATAGCAAACAAACCCATCTTAGCCTGAGCAGATTGTCTTGAATAGATCCATTGCAAAGACAATAGCATTGTATCCAGCCAAATGAAATGATGACCCTATCAATAGACAATAAGATGCCAACTACCACAAGACTATATCAGTCCCCTACATCTTCTTCTCCTCGAAGAATCTTCTCTCGAAAATTATATCGAGTCTTCGCATCTGCCTTCTCTTGCAATTCCTCTATACGCACATCATCTTGCCTCTGCTATCAAGCAGCACTACGTCGTCAATCCGATCCCGTCGTTCAAATCGCTTCATCAAAATGAGTGACGAAACCTACGAAGTTCCCATCATGTTTTGCCCAGAGTATGATCCTCCTGTCCATTTGAACCTGCAAAGAGGCTAATCGTTTGAAGTGTCCATCTCTCCTATGAGGATATCGCCAAGCTCAATCCCTTCTATGAACAGTACAGGGCATTCTGGAACACCTCTCCTGATACCACGGCGACCACACTCTCTTCTCTGGATAGTTCGTCCAGATCCCCTTCTTTGCAGTCAGTTCACGCTAGCACTGATACACCACCATCTCCTCTTGATATCTCATCTTCTCCCTCACTGCACTACGTCGAGCCTTATGCTGGTCTTCACCTTTCCGCAAAGCTCGATGTCCCTTTGCATAAAGGGATTCAGCGCAAGCCCTCTGTTAGGGTCTATGGCGAGGATCTTGCCGCAAGTCAGCAAGCCACTTTTGTGCTTGAAGGGTACAACAACCACTCCCTGTCGCCTGTGAGGGAAGCAGCGGAGATATGTGAATTCGATTCGATTGACCGTCATCACTTCGGCGGCTCGACTCAACAAGTGAGATCCTCGCACAAGAAGCTTTTCGGAGCAAATGGCTGGCTCGGCCACGCCGACGACTTCAACAATGCGCCGCTCAAGAGACAAAAGTCGAAGATCTTCCGAGATTTGGGAAAGAAGATCAAGCATCATGTGGGAGAGATTGTAAGTGCTCACCGTTACTTTTTGGTTTGATCACGTACAGTCTCGCTAATATGATCAACAGGCTGAGGATATGGCAAAGGCTTACCCAAAGGCATTCGCTGGTGCACCACGCCGACCAAGAATCGTTCCTGAGTCGGCAGTTCCCATCTCTTTGGACCCTCCTACTCAGGCCAGACTGTACTCGGAGATGGAGGTTATGATCTGTGTGACCGCAAACAAATTCCTCGTCCAACAATACGAAACCGGTCGTATCTCAGAGGAGTCAATCAAGAAAGTTACCAACTTCTGGGGCTCCAAGAACAGACCTCAGGTCGTTGAATTTCAGTTCGATCAGGCCACACAGCGTCGACTGATCTTGTCTAATATCCGAACACTGCGCTTCAACGGAGAGAGTTCGACCAACCCCATCCTCCTACACTCCAATCTTCACAACTGGAAAGCAGTGGTGAAGGAGATGAGTGTCCGCACCTTCTGCGCCCCTGACAGTGCCATTCGGAAACACATGCACGACATCCACAAGCTCCTCGACATGCTCGGTGCGCACGATGCTACATTACTTGCTTTCGAAGAGCTTCAGACGAACACATTAGCCTTGATGAGGCAACGCCGACAGATGAGCTATCCTCTCGAGCGAAGCAACAGCACCTTCTCAGGCTCGAGCGGCAGACCCACAGAAAACAGTCGGCTCAGGCACTAAACTGAAATTGTTAGGGCGCCGGTCATTGAGTGAGTGGAGTTATGGGCTGGACAACACGGCGAGCAGATCAACAGTTGGCTCTTTGTTTCTTCAAGGTCTTCGTTTGTGCTTTTCTCTTCTTTTCCAACCTCATGTTGGCATGTACGTTACTAGGTTCTGTTTAGCGTGGCCTTGCTTTTCTTCGATACCCTCTTATACTGAAGCCTTGAGAAATTCAATCTATCCTTACGGAGTACAGTTATCTGAGCTCTGTCCCGGTTCATATTCAAAGCGAAAAGTCCTCTTTGCCTTGTCTTCCAGGAAAATGAGTAGATAGTCGAACGTTGCAATCTCCTTGTTTTGCCAATGCCCAGAAAATGCCAAAGCACGTGGGCCGACGTCATAGGCTCCCGCGAAGGATCACAAGCAAATGACCTCTCGCAAATCCATCAACTGCTTTCCATCTTACGCAGAAGGCGATTTCATTGTTCCTGTCTCTGTTTGAGAATACGCTGTAATGAGATCTGTCATCTATCATGACAACTTCCCTGTTGCTAGCAGACATTAAGCTCTCTCGAAGCTTTTCTTGATCCCCATTCCCCTTGCTTGTTGACACGACGCCAGCCAATGGGAAATTGATAGGCTTTGATGCTATGGCATTGAGAAATCAACCGGCAATCTCCAACTCTAGTGCAGGCAGATTCTTTCTTTGATGATTGCTTAAGGTCTTCTCCTGTTGCTGCACCTCACTCACAAATTCTACTCACGAAACTAGCAGCGAAGGGTATCTCACACGATGGCTGGTCCTCTTCATACCTACGGACCGACCTGTCTTCTGGCTGACGACGACCCTGACCCTTCCACTTGGTATTGTCTATCTGAACCGCCGAAAGTTCGAGCGCAGTTTTTCTACACCTCTTCTTTACCGATCGATGATCCCTTGAGCGCACTGCCTCCGCCGTCCAGCGGTCAAAATGCGATCAACGAACGGGCTCCACCGCAGCCATTTTCTGTCAAGGACAACATAGCGCTCGAGGAAGCGTGGCGGAATCTTGGACAAACAAGGGAGGAGAGGGCGGCCGGGTCAAAGAAGCCTCCGAGTATCGTGAGAAACACAGGGATAGCTGTACCTGGGAAGGAATCGGTCAGTGAAACGGAGCGGAGTAGGCATACAGGCAGCCGTGGAGATGGAAGCCTGACTGGGATTGATGAAAGTCCGTCTAATAACCATGCTCCGTCTACCAATGAGCAGCCATTTCGCAGTATCAGAGGAGAATCCCATGATGAAGTCGGCGGTGCAGGTGGCGGCGTGTCATGGGGAAGATCGCAAGGCTCTGCACAGGACAACGGGTTGGACAATCACAATCAACCTTTGAACCTGACACAGAGGAAAAGGGAACTGTCCTTAAGTAGTCAACTCAATGCTGCAAAACGCGTTGCAGGTGCACCCTCAACGAGCGAAAATCCATCAATGGGAGGATTCGAGGGTGGAAGTCTACGGGGCAAATCATCTCGCGATGCGAGCATCAGCGGCTCCCCGTTTGCTAGAGCTCCTATTGCTCAGTCACAAAGCCCGCTGGGTCGCTCAGTTGAATCTGTCTCCTCAAAGGGTGGAAGCTCAGATCTCCAAGCTGAACCCCATCACACTGCGACGAAGCCGTCAGACCTGAGAGCCAGTGTTGAACAAGAGAACTCGTCTGGAGGACCTATAACGGAGGCTGGAGCAGCTGATCAAGATGATACTTCTCAGTTGAAGATTCCCGTCGGTGTTTCCCGGCTTCATTTGGTGGAGCTGCCGAATCTGAAGGTGGTATTTCCCTCATTTGCTGATTTCAGGATCTCACAGCGCTGATTTTTCAGTAGATGAAACCCATATACTGGAGTCCTCTTCATGATGAGTCGAATGTTCTGCGTGCTACTTGGTTTTACAAGAACACCATGCTTCCAGTGGAAACGGAGCTCGCCAACAAGCTTGAGGATGGGTACATTTATCTGAAACCCTGGACAGATACATGGCAGGATGAACTCAACAGCTGTGTTGAGAATGGAGCTGACGCGGAAATGAAAATCGTGCACAAACTGTGGTCGAAACCCGATACGAAATCCTACAGCACACCTACTACTTCACGCCCCGGATCTAGCGCTCTGGTAGGAAGTGCAGGACCGGATTCTGACTCGCTAACGTTCGACGAAAATCGAGCTGCTGGTGGGACGACTGCACATACTGAAGCCGTCAAGCCGTTTTTGAATTCCAGTGTCATATATGTCGATGGTAGGAATGCTCAAATTCTCAGACCCAGCTTGCTTCCTTCCGTTTCAAGAGGGAGGAGGCCTCTCAGTTCGATTCGCAAAGGTCGACATATTGGAATACCCGTGGTCCGTGGCTTCAGCCTTCGCTCATGGGAACAGCTACATCCATCTAAACCCAGTCCTGTAGATGTAAGAAATTACCTCCGCACCCAATCGCGAGCAATGTCCAGGACAGATGGTAGACAAGTCTGCTATGCTTGTGCAATGGAAGGATCACGACCTACTCCGACCGACTTGGTGTTGGTCATCCATGGCATAGGTCAGAAGCTATCGGAGCGTATGGAAAGCTTCCATTTTACGCATGCAATCAATGCCTTCCGCAGGAATATCAACGTGGAGCTGAACAACGAGCCGGTGTGGCACCATGTACGCCCGGACCATGGTGGGATCATGGTCCTCCCTGTCAATTGGCGATCGACGCTATCCCTAGCGGATGGCAACCTCGAGTCTGAGGTTTCTGATGATCCAACTGCTAATCACTTCGCGCTGAAGGACATCACACCAGAGACAATTCCGGCTGTCAGGTCATTGATCAGTGATGTCATGCTCGACATTCCCTACTACTTGTCTCATCACAAGCCTAAGATGATTCAAGCAGTTGTCAAAGAAGCGAATCGAATATTTCGATTGTGGTGCAAGAACAACCCGGGGTTCCAGCAGCACGGTCGGGTGCACTTGATTGCACACTCTCTAGGAAGCGCTATGGCTATAGATATTCTCAGTCATCAGCCGACCAAGCTACCAGACATTGATTTCGCAACAACGAGCCTTCACAGTGATATTTTCGAGTTTGACACAAAGAATCTTTTCCTTTGTGGCAGTCCCGTCGGTTTTTTCCTGCTCTTGAATAGAGGTATGCTGGATCTGTGGACTAGACAGATTGTTGTACGGGACACCTGCTAACAAACATTACAGCGAACCTCTTGCCACGGCGAGGCAGAGATAAGCCCGGCTACGAAGGCGAAGATCGACTTCGTGGTGTTGCAGGCGAGCCAGACACGTATGGTTGCTTGGCCGTTGACAATCTCTACAACATCATGCATACTACAGACCGTAAGACCCTCCTTACTTGCTATTGCAGTCGAATGTGATGATTGACTCTTATCAGCAATCGCATATGGTGTCAATGCCGCAGTGGACGTTGACCTTGCCAATTCTCTAAAGGTCGCATCAATCCCAGGCTCTTCGGCCTCCTTCTGGCAATCTTTTGGCAGTGTCTTTCGCTGGAGCACGTCTACTACTTCCGCGCCCGCTCGTCCTGCCGTCATTGCCAAGCTCCCTTCCAATGTGGAAATGGAGACACATGATTTCACACGCGAGGAGATTGCAGAAAAACGCATGTTACTCCTTAACGATAATGGTCAAATAGATTATTTTCTTTCGGGGGGTGGCGGACCACTGAACATTCAGTATCTTAACATGCTGAGTGCGCATAGCAGTTACTGGATTTTGTCAGATTTTGTTCGCTTTATCGTCATAGAGATAGCCCGCGAGCAGGGGAGGGAATCGACCTTGCCTGCATTCAGGGCTGAGAAGAAGAAGGGATGGAAGGTACATAAAGGTTGATAGATTAGAGATAATAATTCCGTTACTGGCATTGGCGTTAGGGATTTACTCTCCAGGACAGATACCTACATATTGGCGGATTACGGCGAAGTATCCTCTTGTTGAGGTGCTGAGGAAATGATATCTTTATTGTGTTCATTCCAAGTATCACTGCATCTTAGTCACGAGGCTACCATACAAGTTCATGGCAGACTCGTCGCCCCCAGACTACGCCTCCGGCACCACATTTCCCAGCATCAAAGCCTCCACTAGAGTACCCTTCTCCACCTTTCCACGTCCCGGCCGAAGCACCAACAGCGCATTCGCACTCGCAAGACTTCCTACTCTTGAGCTCCGCTGACCAACACCCTCTAGGCCAGTACTCGTGGCATACAGCCGGCCATCGGAGCGCGAGGCAGTGACAATGGCACGGTGGTACTCTGTACGCTTAGGATCAAGCGGAAACTGATGCGCCAGCGTGACGGATACAAGAGGCAGCCCCAGAGCAGGTGTTACTCCCGGCGCAGTCTGTCTCTGCCCCATTCCCATCAACTTGTGCAGCGACGGAAGCACGAACAGATTCAGCGTCACAAGCGCCGAAGCGGGGTTCCCAGGCAGCGAGAAGATGAGTTTCGACTCGCGCTCCTGCTGTGCGGAGCCAGTCGGCGACGATGGCTTGAATGGGATTGTTGCGAACGTCGTCGGCTTACCCGGTTTCATTGAGACGCGGCCGAAGTGGATGGTGCCGCCGAGCGAGCGCTCGATGGTCGGCTTGAGCAGGTCCAGCTCGCCCATTGAGACGCCACCTGTGGTGACGATCACGTCGACGCTGGTGCTTGCCCGCCCTACGCCGCGGAGGGCGTCGCGGAGAACGTTTTCGAGTTCCCCGGGAGGTGTGTCGCGGGCAATTCCCAGGTCCACTGTGGGGAATCCCCATGAGGACAAGCAGGAGAGAAGCGAGGGACGGTTGGAGTCGCGGATCTGGCCGCCGTAGAGCTTGCTCGGGTCGTTGTGTTCGACTAGCTCGTCGCCGGTGCTGAGGACGCCCACGCAGGGTTTCTTGTATACCTTGACGGTCTTGGTTCCTGTTGCTGCGAGGAGGCCGATTTCGCCCCCGACGGATGTGATGATGTCGCCTTTTGAAAGGATTTTGGAGCCCAGCGCGACGTCACTGCCTGGTTCGCGCACGTTCTCGAGAGGTTTGATGTCGCCTGTGAGAATTTCGATGGTGGCCTCTTCTTGGCCGTCCGGTGTAGAGGAGACGAGGATGGTGTCTTCAACCATTACGACTGCGTTCGCGTTGGGGGGGAGGGGTGCGCCGGTGGTTATTCTGGCGACAGTACCTGGCTCAAGAGGCGACAGCGTCCCTCCTGGGTTCGCATGAGTGATGGAGGCTACGGGAAAGATTCCCTTCGTACTAGGTCCGGCTGTTGGCGAGTCAGGTGCAATAACGGCATATCCGTCAACAATACTGGCGCGGTAGGCCGGTACAGCCTCTCCAGCATAGACATCTTCGGCGACGACAGAACCAACCAGAGAAGGAGTCACGGGAACCTCGATGACGGCCGGCTCTGGCGTGTGCTGGCTGATCAGGTTGAGAGCTTCGTCGACTGAGAGCATGGGGTAAGGAGATGAGCGATAACGGCGATTCGGCCCGGCATTCGGGTCGTTAGACTGAGGTCGTTCTGAAGGCGACGTATGCGCCCTTGGGACTACGTGTCCATGACCATGTGAATGGCCATGATCGTGGTGATGGTGATGGTGGTGGTGATGGTCATGCGGTTGTGCTTGGCCCTCTGAGCTTTGCTTCTGAGTAGACACACCAGCTTCGGCTTCTAGCTTCTTGACTCCACCTGCATGGAGAGCTCTGGAGTTCGCTCCAGCCGCTTGAGTACAGGCATGCGGTATGAGCTTGATGATAGCCTCAAGATTCTCCTTGGCTCCTTTTGGAGAGCCTGGTAACGTGATCAAGAGCGACTTGTCTCTGACACCTGCAACAGGTCGAGACATCATTGCGACTGAAAGAATGGTGAGCTACTGCACTGAGAAAAATGATGTTTCCAGTCTTACACGGTGTCACTTTAAGAGAGGCGGCAAGCATGCCGTGTCTGAGCCCTGCAGTCAGTATCATAGTCCGTAATAAGCAACTCCTGACAGCTGGCTTACACAATGCCAGGCGCATGGCGATGGATGAGAGGCGATACAGCCTATACAAGCCGTCAGCTTCTCGCTTGGGTCCCCAAAGGGCCGCATAACAGACCTCGGGAGTATTATCCTTGACAGCAAAGCCCGTACCACCGCTAATTAAAACCAGGTTAACCCAATCTGGACCATCTGTCCAATTGCAGATTGTCCGCTGGATATCTAGCACATTATCAGGCACAATCTTGATAACGGGAGGCTCCCAGCTGTTTGAGCCCTCGGCTGTAAATGAAGCGGTCAGAGTATCCCCCACTTTGTCAGTGGATGGATCCTGAGAAGCAGTATCCGATACAACCAGGATTGCAGCCCTGAGTTTGCCGTCGGCCATCTTGGATGTAAATGCTGCAATGCGTAAGTGATTCGTTGCTTCTTGGAGGTGCGGGGGTAGCTTACCTCTTAAGTAGTTCGATAAGCGGAATCGGAGATAACTTAAGCTTCAGATAGCGGCCAAGGGGAGGATTATGAAAGAAATCATCCTTTGGAATTGCACATATTTACAAAGCGCCAGAAAGGTAACAACACTGCCTCGGATATTTGGATTGGCCATTAATCCCGACAACTCTTACTGTACATCATAGCGGACATCATCACCACAGCGAACAGCTAAATCATCAATGCAGTTCTCAGCATACCGGAGAAGCTCTACAGTCAACCCAAATCCAGACGCCTTAATGCTTTATATAACAGACAGATAAAGGACGAAAGAAGAAATATCAGAATAAAGGGGAAAATCGTACGAATGAATCCAGATTCGCTTCACGAGAACTCTCCTGTCGAAGAAGACTGTTGTTGGAAGTCGAACTTAAGCCCCAAAATCCGTCGCTTTTGAACCAACCAGAAGGCCGATAATGAGACCAAAGAGACCGAGGACAGAGCTGAAAATCTCGATGACGAGGATCTTGACGAATCTGTTCATAAAGACATTACATAATTAACCACGGCTTGCGAAGGTGGGATGCGAAGGGAAAGGGAACGAACAAGCTTGGATCAGCCGCATCTGCCAGAGCTGCACCACTTCCATTGATGCCAACGGATATACCACAGATCAAATTGCATGCGCCCACTGTGATACCTCCCCAGAAGAGTGCATAACCCGTGTAGTAATTGCTACCGGAAAAGATCTCGTCGCCCTCGACAAGATTGAGTTTCGATGAAAACACGATAGCCATGATAACTCCGTAGATAGCGACGACTTCGCAGAAAATGATAGAGATCAGGTTCTTCGTCCGAATCCGTGGTGCTTTAACACCTCCGCCGACAATCGATGAGCCCGTCAAGAAGATACCCCTGATAACGTAGGTCAGTAACCCACAGGATCAACCTAATCAAGGCTGAAGTTGTATAGCGACCATACCATGCTGCTCCGACAACAGACAAACCCACGCACAAAGCAATACCAAGGTTTGCCCAGGCGTACGGGGAAACGGACTCGAGGAAGTGGCCAACCTAAGAAATGTCAACGAAAACAGGTCAACGGCTTTGATGCGGAGGGAAATGGAGCTATCACTTCATACATTGAACTGTTCACCGTCACCATGGAACAGCATGTCTGAATAATCATGTCAGTACATCCAGACACTTCGTAAGACTCTTGGGTGTACTCACACCCTCCTATTACAAGGAGTGACACGGTTGCAGCCCCAGCTCCATAAGTGAGGACCATGTTGATCTTCAACCCTTTCGCGCAACCTGTAAACTCGAAATAACAATACCAAGCTGCAGGGGTCTCAAATAGAGCGGCAGATAGTTGGAAGCGATAACGTTGGAGCTCTGTTTGGCGCCTGTCCGTCTTGTGCTGGAACACTAACAGCCAAGTTAGTCGGCTGTGATGGTGCTTCGGACCAAGTTTAATCCGCCGGTCGGCCGTGCTGGTGGTTCACCGTACTCCAGCCCATCAAAGCAGACTAAGGCGGACTGACTACCTTAGGCTCTTAGCCAGATACCTTAGACCAGCAATTGAAGTACCCCAGACTGACCCATGGATCGAGCTCCTCTCCAGGCGACCATCTGAACGACTTGCACGGCTGATTTAGTCGCGACCACATCGGAGTTACAAGTTACAACGGAAAAGCTTTTTGATTTGCACTCTCATATCCCTAGCGTCCTTCTTCTCGATCTCTTTCTTCCTCCGCTGAAGTATAAAGACTGCTACCGCGACTGCCTCTACTACCCCTTATTCTCCTGTCACCGCTACTCACACACAACTCACCATGGCTTCCTCCGGGGTTGGGTCGTATTCGAACCCCTTGAAGAAATTCAAGTGTGTTTTTCCAGCGCGGAATCGTATTGCCTTCTGATTCCAATCGCTAACGGATCGATAGGCTGGTATTTTTAGGAGAGCAGAGTGGTACGCACATCTTCCGAGGCGATCACACGCGACAGAGACTACATAATGGGTGGCTTCTGACATCATTATATAGTGGGGAAGACGTCTCTGATCACAAGATTTATGTATGATTCGTTCGACAACACATACCAAGCGACAATCGGAATCGACTTTCTGTCCAAGGTAAATCGCACCTCGTTCACTGACATTCTGCGTCGGCGTTCAAGAACACTTTCACGAGTGCCCATCACCAAGTATGACCAGGATTAGCTAACCTGTCCTCGCGCATTAGACGATGTACTTGGAGGATAGAACAGTCCGACTCCAGCTTTGGGATACGGCCGGTCAAGAGCGATTCCGATCTCTGATTCCGTCCTACATTCGAGACTCTAGCGTCGCAGTTGTTGTTTACGATATCTCAAACGCCAAGTCGTTTCAAAATACGCGGAAGTGGATTGATGATGTTCGGGGCGAGCGGGGCAACGACGTGATCATCGTGCTAGTAGGCAACAAGACCGATTTGAATGATAAGCGGGAAGTTACCACAGCTCAAGGCGAAGAGGAGGCAAAGAAGAACGGACTGATGTTCATTGAGACCAGCGCCAAGGTCGGTCACAATGTGAAGCAACTTTTCAGGAGGATAGCCCAAGCCCTTCCCGGAATGGAGGGAGAAGCAAACAGAGAGTCACAAAGTGTGTTTATTTTCCACAACTGTTGGCTTCCTTCTCCGAGTACTGACTGCTCTTCCTACAGTGATCGACGTCAATATCAACCCCAGAGAGACAACAAGCAACGATGGATGCGCGTGCTAGTTTGTGAACCTTTTGGCTACCTGTCTATAATTGCCACTCGCGCTTTTGACGATTTGATCTCAATGACGATAATTGAGATTGTCCATAATGTTTTACCATTCTTAACATGTACATTGTCTTCTCCATTCCATGTTTCAGGGTGAATAGCGTTTCTAGATTGGAGTCTTTTCAATTCGCGCTGTCTGAGTGCATTGGTCTGAAAGTGGTCGTTGCCGAGTTGATACAAGGGCAGAGTTGGGTGTTCTACGTGCGCATCATATCAGCATTTCATGGCCCCCTGGACTGTTGTTGACTCTCATCATCAAGAATTTTTTTTGCGTCCTTTTTCGAGTGTGCCAATCTCGTGCATTGACCTCGTCTACTGATGACATGGACGCTGATATTTCCAAGCCTCATAGAGTCAAGTACAATGGAACCGAGTCTCTGGCCATTATGGTCTGGCAGGCAGAAACATTCGCTCACAGTGCACTATAGCCATCCTCTTCAATCTCAAAAATAGCGCCAAATGTAGCTTGGTATATACCTGTTTTGTGGCAATGCCCAGCCATAGCGGTTGCCTGATGTTTCTCACTGAACTACCCCAGCTACAAGATAGGCTAAAAGTGACGAAGCTGCATCTGGTTGCCAGAAAATGGAAGAGCCAAATCTATCTAGTACATCATAATATCAACAAGTCTTATGATAATAAGAATAAAATAATGATTCCCATTGTCATTGCCACTCTCACTATTGACATTACTATTCTGAATAGTCTAAACGAATACGAAGAGGCAGCGATCAGCGGGCGGATCGTCCGGAAAATCAAGCCCCCCTGTGTAACAGCCGCTTAGGTTGGGCATTCCAATAATCCAGCACCAGCCTCTTTTTCCATCATTCATTCTCTTCATCCGATCTGTCTTGTGGTTCTACCATCATCTTCTTCTGTCATTCCATTCCTTTTCCTCTTTCTGCCGTCCTTGAGCCACGAGCGGTTTCATCCGACCTCATCGGCGGCATCCATCATGGGTTTTTCAACCCGTTTCCTCCGCGTGCCGCGGCCAGAGGTACGTCAATTTTCATTGCATGATCTCAAGATGAAGGAACTGCAAAACTGTTCCATTTCTGTCGAATACTAATGGACGATGACTTCAATAGACCTTTCTTTATGTGATGAGCCTGGAGACAGGCGCTTCTTTGATCACACTCTCCCTGCTGTTGAACAAGATCAGTGGTCTCTATGGCCTGCTCGCCTTATTGACCGGCTACCATCTGTCGCCAGTCCAGCTCTCAATGTACCTCTATTCGCTTATCGCACTCGGTCTTACAGCATCGCTCTTCCCGCATATTCGGAAGCAGTCACCCCTGCAGTGCCTCGCCCTCGCTTGGCTCTACCTATTCGACACGGTCATCAATGCCGCATACACAGCTGCGTTCGGTGTGACATGGTTCCTCGTTATCTCACAACACTACGACAACGGAACCGCAAAGGGACCGGGCAGCGACACAATTTCCCAAACCGCCGGCTTCACCAACCCCAAATACGGCTCCTCGTCCACCGGAGGAAAGTCCGCACGAAGCTCGGACGGCCTCACCAACGCCGTCACCCAGCCCGAGAGTTTCCCAAGCATTGTGTTCATCTGCTTGCTATGGATTATCCGCATTTACTTCGTGTTCGTCATGCTCGCCTTCGCCCGCCAGACATTACGTCTCTATGTCGCAATCCCCCGCCACACACAGCTCCCCACGCACAGCCGCAATACCTCCATCGCCAGTGTCGCTAGTGTCGCTGATATCGACCGGGAGCCGTTCTCGCCATATAGTCCCGATGGTCAAGGCTGGCAGGGCAAGCTTGGCCGCTTTATGATTAGTGTCGGTCGCAGTTACTGGCTGGGCGAAGACGAGGACGGTAACTGGTTGAACACCATGGGTCGCAAGTTTCGTGCTCGCGGGGAGCTTCCTGGTCCTTTGGAACGAGAAAGAAGGCGCCGGTCGGGCACCGGGCCTCCACAGCCCTCGCAGGCCAATGTTCAGGCCGCCGCACTGCAGCAACCGATCCCGGAGAATCTGAAGATGCATGACTGGAATGATGGCCGGTGATTTCCTCCGGTTATCAGCATATATCGCTGCCTACCAGCAGCCATACTTGTTCACATAATGACACGTGATGTCATCCGGTCCTGCCTCCTCCTGCTTAATTTGCTAGGGGCCATGGATCGTCATCGTTGCGCTCCTGTCGTTGTATAGACTTCAAACCGACAAGGCTCGCCGCTGTTGATAATCCCTTTTTACCTTGGCTCAAAGTCGTTGTGATCTTATTTGTTCCTGTTACTTATTCTATATGCCGAAATGATCTACATAACATGGTTGGGTCGGGACTTGGGCTCTGGGTGACTGCGTGACGACTCATGTCTTTCCCCCCTTCGCTTTGATGAATGTCTTCACTGGAAGAGGCGTTCGGATCGGGTTTTCTCGGATATGGGTATGCGGATGTAATTGTTGTTGACACGGGGGAATCAGAGAGTAGCGGGTATCGTTGATCTGCTCTGGTGAGCGCTTGTTCCTTCAGATATGGATGGCTCGGTGTATATTTCATAACGATATGGGTTTAGCATTTAATATGGCGTCTTGAGAATTTCATCCTCATCATTTGAGCTAGTGAGTACCATTGGTATGCATACTCCATCGGGCATTTAAGATAGTTTGCATCTTGAACTCATAGCACATAACCTTGCAGCGGCTTCCAAGCAGCAACTTGCTGCCTCAGCTCCTCAGGCCAAGTGCGCTGATTATACAGACTTGTCCGATGCCCTCAGGCCTCTCTTTCCTTGATCGGGCCTTTGGACCTATTTAATTCTCACATTCCAGGAGGTGGCGCCGATTTTGAACCTCCTGCTCCATTGCAACTCAAAGTCACTCATTATTGTCTACTATGCGTGGTTTCAAGGTTTGATGGAAAACGGTGAGTCCCTCGGCCACTAAGTTACTCTGGTCAGAGTGCATTGGCTGGTCGCATCAACTCTGCTAAAAACGATGGCATTCACGAGAGGTTGGTCATCCACTCAGTACCTATCTGCTGATTCATTAATATGATACCAAGCTCTCGCCCGAGAGACTGGCCTGAGGCACCTTTAGCCGTGTCACCCAGAACCACGGAGAGTCCGAATAAGCAAGTTCCATCATAAGAATCTTAGCATTTCAGTCTGTTACTCAAGAGTATTCCATTATCAGAGCTTCGTCCACTGTATACCAGATATATGGTAACCCGGTAGCAGCTCTGCTTCATAATAATAATAATAGAACCCCGATACGGATTACTGATCCTCGTCAGATCATCAGATCGGTGAATCGATTCAAACACCGACGCCAAGGCCTGTCGGGGAGCGAAACCTCAAAACGTGCGAAGAAAAACTGACGTGCTCAAGCGGACGTCATGGGACCCCCGCACTTCGACCGAAACGGCAAGTTTGTTCCTGAGCCAGATGAGTGTTTGCATCGATGTCGTGATCGTAGACCAATGAGAATGCTGATGATCCAACCCCCGATGGCGGAGAAGATGGTAGCTCAGTGCCTTTTTTCCCGTTGTCTGTTTTTCATGGGAGATAATTGTGAAGGAGATAGGAGAGTTTTTACTTAAATCTCATTTGAGTGCCTTTCTTTTCTTTCTCCATACTCTGTTTGTTCTTCTGTACAGGTTGCATTGAGTGGGAGTCGCCCTATGCGGTGATATCTACTTTTCTACTCATATAGTTCATCCCACTTTCTGCGCATTGAAGAGCGCAGTGCACATCTAGATACCAGATATGGCGTCCATTTCGTCTGCTGCGGAAGCAGGTTAGTCTTTTTTCCAGTTTTTGCTGATAGTCATGTTTCATTTAGAAATTCTCTCCCTGTGATGGATCGCTAATCATTCAAAAAGCTGCACGAGTTGCCTACCTTGTCAGCGATGTTATCCTCTCTGTTCAGCCATCTTTGCAGACAGATTCTCTGTTCTCAAAGCCCCTCAAGGCTCTGAAGGCGAGCAATGCTCGTAGCATCCTCACTAGATCTGCACCCGAGGTGAGTGAACTCGCGACATACCCAGTTATAGAGGTTTCGCATAACGGGGATTGACACTGTCGACAGGTGGTAGCGGTACGCTCTAATGAAGACCCTCTTCTTTCTGCCTTCCATCCACTGCAGGCGGGCGACGCAGTTTCCGTTGTCACCGGCTCCTCTGTCCTGCTCTCATCCGTTCCTCACCTCTACCGCTTAGCGAACTCTCCAATTGTCATCCACGTCGCCCTGGAGCCCTCCCCATTCGCAGATTACTCCGTCATCAGCTCGATACGCCAGTGTGACTTCACCTTCTTGCATTCCGAGACAATCCAGGAGGCACAGGATATTGCCATCACCGCCCATGCTCTGGCCCACAGGTCCGGAAAGGGTGTCATTCATTTCTTTGATCCTGCCAACTCTGCAAACGAGGATGCCATTGCAGCAGAAAATGTGGACGTCATTAAATCTCTGCTCAACCTGGGCGGAAGCACTGCGTCCCAGGCTGGAGCACAGACACTATATGCTGACTCCGGTCGCGTAGCTACCGTGTCTGAGGAAATTGCGGAGAGTTCTGGTGCCCAAGGTGGCATTGCTCCCACCCTCGCGCAGCCATCCCAGACTCCTTCAAGCGTCAGTGTTGATAACTCATCCGTTGGATCGTCACGGAGAGATAGCAGCACAGACAGCCATGCGACCAGCTCTGCTGCCACAACCGTCGATGCTGCCGCTTCTGTGCGTCCAGTCAGCGCTGCCGACATCTTCGAGTGGACTGCCCAGATCTGGAGTGTCCTGTCCCAGAGCACCGGACGCACCTACCGCGCAATTGAATACACTGGTCCCTCTGACGCCAAGTCCGCCATTTTCATCTTTGGCTCCACCGGAGTATTCGTTGATGTTCTCGCAAAGGCGGAAGCCAACAGTGAGCTCGAGAACATCGGACTCATCACTGCTCGTCTCTACCGTCCCTGGATCGGAGGCCAGATTGC